TCAACTGTATTTACTGTTTAAATTACCTAAACCAACTCAATACCCTAAGAATCCCCTAAGAATACATAGAGATTTGAAGCAACTAAATTATTTTTAGTTTTTTTAGATAAAAGTTTTTTTATTACTGTTTCGGATTATCCAGTTAGTTTTATTTATATTTAACAAGTCAAAGATTATCCATCGGTAAGTGTGAACGAGAACCCGTCAGCTCACTTTTTCATCTTCAACGCCTCAGCTAGCGGGAATGAAAGTATCAGCGCTAAGAGCTGACTCAATACTCGTTAATTGAATCAAATCTGATTTAACCTAAAATAATCTATCTTAGACTGGCATCAAATAATCTAAATAAATCCAGACTAGATTTAGCAAATAAGATTTGATTTAATTCGAGGGATCTGAGTCCATTCTGTGCTCGAGGAGGATCCTTTTCTCACCAAATACTGTTTTACATTTTCGTAGATTAATTAAATCATAAATTGATACAAGGTAAATATGGAAATAGTAAAGTACATGATGATGAACGAAGCCTAATGAAATAAAATTCATTCTGACAAAAGTGGACATTTTGATGAGGCTTTTTTCGTCCCAAAATGAATTTTATCAAAGAATGGAATATTTTCATTTTTATTTGAAAAGAGCGCTTTGGCTGAGGTCGACACTTATTTTCGCCCAATCTTTCAAGTCCAAACTTTTTTGAATTTTTGTCGGTTTTACTTAAGCTTTCAGTTCAAACTGAACGCTTTTTCGAGTGTTGAGTGTTTGCCAGTATAAATATAATACTTATTAAAATGGAAGAACAGAATCACAATTCTGGTAAAAGTAAGTTTCATTTTATTATATTTATGATTTCAATATTCACTCTTTACCTTTCATTTTATTCAGTTACTTTCAAAGTGAAGCATTTGGATGAATATCATGATATACTCATTGATCCAAATGATGAAAGATATGCATACAAAGACCAACACCAACAAATATTTGAACAGGTAAGTAAAGTTTGCAATCTTTTGAATATAATTTCTCATTTTTTATACATTCATAGCTGGAATCAATAACTGGAGTACCAAGTAGATATACAACTAGCTTTAATATACCTAGAAACATGAACCCTTCCGACGTTAATAATATCGAACGGTATCTGATGTGTTTTTACAACCAAAAAGCGTAATTCAACATTTTATCACTTGATATCAATTATCATGCGATGTATAATAATTAATTGTTTCTCAACTTTTTCCATAGCTTCGCTCATGATTTACGCATGGAATACACGGAATACATGGATGACGATATATTCAGTGTAAATATTCGTGATGGTGAGCGCTTTCATCTCAAATATCGTGTTGGTTATGTGTATAGTATTTCCAAGCGTATAAGTATGTGTTATTGCCTGGCAGAAGAAAGAGACGTTCCTGAAGAAGGCTGTGGTCTAGATGTATGTCAATTCACACGCACTGAGAGTTACTTCAAAAGGTTGAAAGATCTCGTTAGTAATGATGAATTGAATGCAAAAATTACTCAGCTTGTCCAACCACTATTTGAAATTGCATCAGATGAAACACTTACGGAAGCTTGGAAGATTTTAAAAGAGTTCAATGTTTTACAAAATTTCTATCCAGCTTGTTATTTGGATTGCAGATGGAGACTTGCAGAGACTGGTGATGCCCGGCAAATTGGTCTTTATCTAAGAACTCGAGGTTAAACCTTTAGAGTATCTGCCCGTGGTGAATGAACTTGGTTTAAATTTTACTCAATAAACTGAGTTGAGAGTTTAAATTTACCATTCCTCAAAAATATTCATTAAAGTTGGATAAATTCGAACGTTCACAACTTTCGCAATTCGCAACTCGGTATTCACTCATTGAGGAACTGAATACTACTTGGTTGGATTCGATTCCTTTTAATGTTCAAACAAAATCGAACAAAAGCTAAAATAAGAAAATAAACATTTTGTGCAGATCTTTTTCAGGAATATTAGGTGTTAAAAAGTAATGTTTGCATTAGCTTCCTGATGGATACAAGTTCCAACCAAAATGGCATGACACTGGGATAGGGATTGTATCCAATTCAAGAGAAATATTGAATAAAGAAAATAGAAAAAGTTTAATTGAGAATGGAAAGGAAGTGAAATTCAGTTTTGAAGCCACTCACAGACCTATTATAATACAGGTGGAATTATTGCGGGCTCGGGGAAAATGTAGAACCTTTAATTCAATCTATTGACTTTGGGATAAAAACTTTTTTCGCGTGTAGGTTGGTGGCTTATTGTCTGATTAAGAGAACATATAAAACCGTCTTTCGATATAAAAGTTTGGTTAAGAAACATGGTCCATCAACTGTACTGGAAAAGATTAGGTTAAACTTGGAACACAATTTCGTCAAAAATTTTCCATAAGAGAAACCTTTTTATAAAACTAATGAAATCAATTTTACAGCAACAAATAATTAGCAGTCAACTCCAAGACAAAAATCACCTTTGCTTGAAGAAAGGCTTTTTTCGTCCCAAAATGAATTTTATCAAAGTGATAAAAGCTCAAGATTAGACATTTTCAATTTCTTACATTTTTTAGTCTGCCGATGGCCTTTTCATTGAGTCCCAACTCTTTAATTATCGCTCGAAGTGGCAGATTAAACTGTAAATCCAAGTAACTCTTTTACATTTATGATTCTATTGATAAATCTAAATGAATGAGCACCTTTCGCTTTTTTCAGTAAATTCTGCTTTTCATTTTCGATTCAATTTACTTTATGTCGGTGTCTTTGATTAATTATTGTTTGTTGATCATCGCTTTGGAAATATCTTCTCGTCACATTAAATTATAAACTTATTGGTTGAATAATCCTAAAATAACTTGATCCAATGATTTCTTATGAGTTATGACCAAACAGCAATGAATCTACTTCGGGAATAAAAACTTTTTGTTTCTAATATTGAACTAGCACATATTCAAATTTACTGAACTGTTGAAAGATGATTAGATCACATTTTATCAGTTTGAATTGTGAGCACATGTTAGTTGTTAATATTGTGAGAAACCTAGATAAATTTTGTCCACTTAAGTGGTCTTAATCTTAAGAGTTAATCGGCATTTCACAATATTGAAGTTAGGGTTGAAAAGCCATTTCCAAAGCCAATGTAAGGTATGACGAGTAATTTTTTGGACTAATTTTTAAAAATTGAATAGCGACAGTTACACTTACAGGCACCATTTAACCAAAATCTGATTTTGACGCTATTGTCCATTTAAGACCATAACTCAATAAAATTTGATCGGAATTGGTTTATTTCTACACAACGCATTCTTGAGAAGTGTACCTTCATTTCAACTTCTTAACGGTTAAATAAAGCCTGTAAGTCTAGTCTAACTGTCGCTATTTAATTTTGAAAAATTAGTCCAAAACATTACTCGTCATACTCTAGTATTCATATTTGTTTGAAAAGAGCGCTTTGGCTAAGGTTGACACTTTTTTCGCCCAATAATCTTTCAAGTCAAACTTTTTTGCATTTTTTCAGTTTTACTCAAGCTTTCAGTTCAAACTAAACGCTTCTCCGAGTGTTGGGAGTTTGCCAGTATAAATACTTTTTAAAATGGAAGAACAGAAACACCATTATGATAAAAGTAAGTGTGATTTTATTTATGATTTCAAGATAATTCACTCTTTACCTGTCATTGCATTCAGTTACTTTCAAAGTGAAGCATTTGAATGAATATCATGATATAGTTATTGATCCAAATGATGCCAGATATGAATACAAAGATCAACATCTAGAACTATTTGAACAGGTAAATAAAGTTTGACATTTCATCTTTGAACAATAACTCATCACTATCTTTACATTTATAGCTGGAATCAATAACTGGAGTACCAAGTAGATATACAACTGCGGTGTATATACTTAGGATCTACAATCTTACCCCCGTTAATAATGCTGTTTGGTATCTGTGGGGGATTTTTAACAACCAAAAAGCGTAATACAACATTTCACTAATTGATATCAATTATCATGCGATGTATATTAATTAAACGCTTCTTCAACTTTTTCATAGCTTCGCTCCTAATTCACAAATGGAATACTATCCACATCAAGATATCTTCAGTTTAAATATTCGTGATGGTCAGCGTTTTTATCTCCAGTATGGTGTTTCTTACGCGCATCGTATTTCCAAGCGTTTAAGTATATGTTATTACTTGGTAGAAGAAATCGACGTCCCTGAAGAAGGCTGCGGTGTAGGTGTATGTCAATCTAATTGCACTGAAAGTTACTTTAAAAGGTTGAAAGATCTCGTTAATAATGATGAATTGAATGCTAAAATTACTCAGCTTGTCCAGCCACTATTTGAATCGGGAACTTTCGCCGAAGCTCACAAGATTTTCAGAGAGTTCAATGTTAAACAATATTTATATCCAGTTTGTGATTTGGATCATAGGTGGAGACTTGCAGAGAATGGTCATGCACGGCAAGATATACAATATCTAAGAACTCGAGGTTAAATCCGCATGGTAGCCTTGTTTCAATTTTACTCCAGTCAGCTGAGACTTTGAAGATGAAAAAGTGAGCTGACGGGTTCTCGTTTACCCTTACCGTTTTTTCAATCAATATCATCGATCATTTATGGGAATCCCAAATTTTTCTTATTTTATCTTTTGTTCATTTTATTGAAACAATAAAAGGAAACGAACCCAACCAAGATTTGAATTTTGAAAGTTTGTTCTGGTTTATTGACTATCATCAATACCCATAATGGAATCAATGGCAGTTGTCAGTTTTTTTCATAAATCAATAGAAAAGATTCACCCTCGACTTATTAAAGCAGCTTTAGCAACAAGACAGACAAAACTGTCAAAATCAATTGTTAAGTCTATCTTACTAAAAGGACTTTCTAGACTACCAGCCTAATGCTTTTATTAATATTTTCAATACCAATCCAGTTTTATTGAAGGATTATTACAAAGATCAATATAAAATTGAAATAAAGGATTTTAATCAACTTCTTCTTTCGGTTGAGCCAACTGAGAAACGATATCTTGGAGACTTGAAAGAGATATTGTCCGCATACCCGAGCTATTTATATGAATTTCTATTACAGAAGACTATGAAGAATGATATGGAATACAAAAAATCGGTGCTACTTATAAATTTTTGTGTCTAGAAAATTATCGAGGATCAACTTATTTCAAAAATTCCAAGCATGGCTAGAATGGTTCATATCGTTGTACCTGATAACAATAAAGAGCGATACAGTGCTATTATTTTTACTGTGTTCAGTTCCGTTTATCTCGAGTTTCAACTCTTAAAGTTTTAAATAAACGACAGCTGTCAATTGCTACTAAGCTGGTGCTTCCAATGTCCATCAAAATGGGTGCTCAAACATGACCCTCAATATTACAATAAGTAAATATTTTCGCTTTTTATAATATATCAAATTTTAAGCCTTATTATTACGGGTTTATTGGTCAGTTTAATGTGCTTCATTTGTAACAGGCTCATACGTTGTTCGGTTTTAATACTTATTAAGACACATCTAAAAGATATGGTACTATTAAAGCTTTTGTTTGTAGCACAAACGCAAAATCAAATTCATGGTTTTCTCAATCTTCTTGTCTATGACATTCGGATTGTTATTAATATTTATTTACCGTTTTCTCAATTCATTGTTTTACCCGAGCGTATTGTTATCTATTGCGATGGTGTTTCAGAAGGACAAACTATCTTTATTTATGAAACCGAACTCATCAAAATATTGTCTTTTCTTCGTGAACATGATGGTCTCAAAGATGCTGTAGTTTCATTCACAATTGTTAAGCGAGTTACAAACATTACTTTTATAACCTAATTTTTCAGAGAAAAGTTCTAAACTTATGTTCATTTTTTGATTATTTTGTCTTTTTTCTATTTTGTTGAAATAATATTATATAATATAATATAATAAAAGGAACCGAATCAATGGTGCCTGTAAGTCTAACTGTCGCTATTCAATTTTTAAAAATTAGTCCAAAAAATTACTCGTCATACCTTACATTGGCTTTGGAAATGGCTTTTCAACCCTAACTCCAATATTGTAAAATGCCGATTAACTCTTAAGATTAAGACCACTTAAGTGGACAAAATTTATCTAAGTTTCTCACAATATTAACAAGTAACATGTGCTAACAATCAAAACAGATAAAATGTGATCTAATCATCTTTCAACAGTTTAATGGGTTTCAGTTCTTCATCAACTAATATTGTTGAAATGTGAGCTTTGTCTTCAAATTGGAATATGTAATACCCCGCAATAATTCCACATGTATTATAACCTATTATATATATATTCTGTGAGTGGCTTCAAAACTGAATTTCACTTCCTTTCCATTCTCAATTAAACTTTTTCTAATTTCTTCATTCAACATTTCTCTTGAATTGGGTACAATCTCTATTCCAAAGCCGTGTCATTTTGGTTGAAACTTGTATCTATCAATGCAAACATTACTTTTTATAGCCTAATATTTCGGAAAAAGATCTGCACAAAATGTTTATTTTCTTATTTAATCTTTTGTTTTATTTTGCTGCAACATTAAAAGGAATCGAATCCAACCAAGTATTATTCGGTTCCTCAATGAGGGAATATCGAGTTGCGAATTGCGAAAGTTGTGAACATTCGAATTTATCCAACTTTAATTAATATTTTTGAGGAATGGTCAAGTTTAAACATAACTCAGTTTATTGAGTAAAATTTAAACCAAGTTCATTCACCACGGGCATATACTCTACGGGTTTAACCTCGAGTTCTTAGATAAAGATCATTTTGCCGTGCATCACCAGTCTCTGCAAGCCTCGCACTATGAATCCAATCACAGGATGGATAAAAAACTTGCAAAACATTGAACTCTTTTAAAATCTTCCAAGCTTCCAAATGTGTTTCAGGTGATGAAATTTCAAATAGTGGTTGGACAAGCTGAGTAATTTTTGCATTCAAATCATCATTATTAACGAGATCTTTCAACCTCTTGAAGAAACTCTCAGTGCGTATTAATTGACATACACCACCACAGCCTTCTTCAGGAACGTCTCTTTCTTCTATTAGCCTATAACACATACTTATACGCTTGGAAATACTATACTCATAACTAGCATAAGATATGAGATGAAAGCGCTCACCATCACGAATATTAAGACTGAATATATCGTCCTCGGGATCGTATTGTAAGAGTGAATCAGGAGCGAAGCTATATAAAAAATTGAGAAGCAATTAATTAATATACATCGCATGATAATTGAAATCAAATGATAAAATGTTGAATTACGCTTTTTGGTTCTCAAAACACCACAGATACCGTTCAATATTATTAACGTCGGAAGGGTTCATGTTTCTAGGTATATTCGCACAAGTTGTATATCTACTTGGCACTCCAGTTATTGATTCCAGCTATGAATGTATAAAAAATGAGAAATTATAGTCAAAAGATTTCAAACTTTACTTACTGGGATACAGAACTTTACTTGCCTGTTCAAATATTTGTTGGTGTTGGTCTTTGTATTCATATCTGTCATCATTTGGATCAATGACTATCTCATGATATTCATTCAGATGCTTCACTTTGAAAGTAACTAAATAAAATGACAGAAAAGAGTGAATTATCTTGAAATCATAAATAAAATGAAACTTACTTTTATCAGAAAGGTGTTTCTGTTCTTCCATTTTAACAAGTATTTATACTGGCAAAACCTCAACACTCAGAGAAGCGTTTAGTTTCAACTTAAAGCTTAAGTAAAACTGACAAAAATTCAAAAAAGTTTGGGCTTGAAAGATTGGGCGAAAACAAGTGTCGACCTGAGTCAAAGCGCTCTTTTCAAATAAAAATGAAAATATTCCATTCTTCAAAATGGCTTTTCAACCTTAACTTCAATAGCAACAAGTCTTTGATTTAACAATCAAAACAGATAAAATGTGATCTGATCATCTTTCACGCAATCTGGCGCCTATTTTTCGAGTTATGCAACCACGAAATTTAACCTGCTTGTTTGAACACCTCTTATCAAATGATTCATATTCATATATGTAAAACAGTTTACTTGGATTTACAGTTTGATCTGCCACTTCGATTGATAATTAAAGAGTTGCAACTCAATGAAAAGGCCATCGGCAGAGTAACAAGTGTAAGAAACTGAAAAGGTCTAATCCTGAGCTTTTATCACTTTGATGAATTTCATTTCGGGACGGAAAAAGCCTTTCTTCAAGCAAAGGTAAATTTTCGCCTTTGAGTTGAGTTGAATTCTTTGGTGGTTTGTGAAATTGATTTCATTAGTTTTATAAAAAAGTTTCTCTGATGGAAAATCTTTGAAAAAAATGAGTTTCAAGTTTAACCTGATCTCTCTGCACAGTTGATGGACCATATTTCTTGACCAGACTCTTTAATCGACATTAATCGGTTTCATATGTTTTCCTAATCCAACAAACCATCAACTCAATACGAAAAAAGTTTTTATCCCAAAGTCAATAGATTGAATTAAAGATTCTACGTTTTTCCCAACGCTGTTTACGCGTATTTCTCGTGTATAGCCCGAGTTCCGATTATTGTATATTTTTAGTGATTCGTTCAATTATGTCTTTCATGTTATTTAGAAATTTTCTTTAGAATCCGTTCAGTTTGGTCACAATTTTCGCGTTTCGCGTTTTTCCAGTAGATTGTGTAATGTAAGTTATTCGAGTTCAACTTATCTATTTCAAGCAGATAATTGTGTTATTGCAGGTATCGAGTGAAAAACTCCCTTTTCCAGAGTCCACTTTTGTCAGTATATCAATATATATAATATATATACGTAATATCAATATCTGAATAATCTGAACTCGGAAACAGTAAACAATAACTTTCAAATATTTACAATTTATGAATTCGGCTAAATGACCAGTGCTTACATTTCGCGATCGATATCTATTGAAATGTTGTTTCAGAAAAACAAATTGTCTTTATTTATAAAAGCTTAATTAGCCTTTCTTTGTGAACTCTCAACTCAGGTAAAATTGAAACTAGTTTGACTTTATATATTGTATATATTGTATTGATATAGATATAGATTTCTCTTGAATTGGATACAATCTCAAGCAAATCTATAGCAAACAACACTTTTTAACACCTAATATTCCTGAAAAAGATCTGAACAAAATGTTTATTTTCTTATTTTATCTATTGTTCTATTTTGTTAAAATATTAAAAGCAATCTAATCCAACCAAGTATGCTTTGGTTCCTCAACGAGTGAATACCGAGTTGCGAATCAGAGTAAACATTCTAATTTATGCAGCTTTAATGAATAATTTTGAGAAATGGTCAAATTTAAACTCTCAACTCAGTTTATTGAGTAAAATTTAAACAGGGCTAAAATACGGGTTTAGCCTCGAGTTCTTAGATATTGATTATCTTGCCGTACATGACCAGTCTCTGCAAGTCTCCACCTATGATCAAAATCACAAACTGGATATAAATATTGTTTAACATTGAACTCTCTGAAAATCTTGTAAGCTTCCGCTAAATTTTCCGATTCAAATAGTGGCTGGACAAGCTGAGTAATTTTAGCATTCAATTTATCATTATTAACGAGATCTTTCAACCTTTTAAAGTAACTTTCAGTGCATTTAGATTGACATACACCTACACCACAGCTTTCTTCAGGGACGTCGATTTCTTCTACCAAGTAATAACATATACTTAAACGCTTGGAAATACGATGCGCGTAAGAAACACCATACTGGAGATAAAAACGCTGACCATCACGAATATTTGAACTGAAGATATCTTGATTTGTATAGTATTCCATTTGTGAATTAGGAGCGAAGCTATGGAAAAAGTTGAGAAGCGATTAATAAATATACATCTTATGCTAAATGATATCAATTAGTGAGATGTATTACGCTTTTTGGTTGTTAAAAATCCCCCAGATATACCGAACAGTATTATCCACGGGGGAAAGACCGTAGATCCTAAGTATATACACCGTAGTTGTATATCTACTTGGTACTCCAGTAATTGATTCCAGCTATAAATGTAAAGATAATGATGAGTTATTGTTCAAAGATTAAACGTCGAATTGTATAGGTACATGTTCAAATATTTGTTGGTGTTGGTCTTTGTATTCATATCTGGCATTATTCGCATCAATAACTATCTCATGGTATGCATTCAAATGCTTCAATTTGAAAGTAACTAAATAAAATGACAGAAAAGAGTGAATTATCTTGAAATCATAAATAAAATGAAACTTACTTTTATCAGAATGGTGATTCTGTTCTTCCATTTTAACAAGTATTTATACTGGCAAAACCTCAACACTCAGAGAAGCGTTTAGTTTCAACTTAAAGCTTAAAAAACTGACAAAAATTCAAAAAAGTTTGGACTTGAAAGATTGGGCGAAAACAAGGGTCGACCTGAGTCAAAGCGCTCTTTTCAAATGAAAATATTCCATTTTGTGCAATGGCTTTTCAAACTTAACTTGTGCTAACAATTAAAACTGATAAAATGTGATCTGACCATTTCAACAGTTTAATGGGTTTCAGTTCTTCATCAACTAATATTGTTGAAATGTGAGCCTTGTCTTCAAATTGGAATATGTAATAGTTCAATATTAGAAACAAAAAGTTTTTATTCCCGAAGTAGATTCATTGCTGTTTGATTATTAAGAGTAAAATCATAAGAAATCCTTGGATCAAGTTATTTCTCGATTATGAAAAAAAAGGTTAATAATTTAATGTGACCAGAAGATATTTCAAAGTGATGATCAACAATCAATAATTAATAAAAGGCATCGGCATAAAGTAAAATTGAATCTAAAATGAAAAGCAGAATTTACTGAAGAAAACTAAAGGTGCTCATTCATTGGAGTTATCAATAGACTCATACATGTACTATGGTATATGTAAAAGAGTTTACTTGGATTTACAGTTTGTTCTGCCACTACATAGAAAACCATTAACTGTACGCAATTGTTGAAAAATGGCTAAATAAAAGTGCCCACCCTTGTAGAAATTAAAAGGTCTAATTTTGAACTTTTATCACTTTAATAAAATTCATTTATGGACGAAAAAAGCCTTTCATTAAGTAAAGGTAAATTTTTGTCTTCGAGTTGATTGTTAATTATTTGTTGGTTGTAAAATTGATTTCATTTGTTTAATGTTTCTAGAGAAAATTTTCTATTATGGAATATCTTTGACAAAATTGAGTTCCAAGTTTAACCTGATCTCTTTGCACAGTTGATGATCTGAACTCGGAAACAGTAAAGATTAACTTTCAAATAAGTAAAATTTATAAATTCATGAATGAATAATTAGTGATCACATTTTGCGATTGATATCTATTGCGATGGTGTTTCAGAAGTACAATAATTGTCTCTACATGATGATCTCAAAGATACTGAAGTTTACCCAGTGAAACCAGGTTCAAATGAGCTTGTAAAGAATTCTATCATGGTTACTATCAACGATTAAGTTGTAACGCGAGCCATACAAGCGATAGTTTATTTTCCTTTTTTATCTTTTGTTTTATTTTGTTGGAGCATTAAAGGAATCGAATCCAACCGGTACTAGGTCAGACGATCGATCGGCATAATCGGAGCGTGTTTTACAAAAAACGGTATCTACACCTTTGAAAAATGTTATCTCGCTTCAAGGATCATGAATTCACAAGTGGAATTTTTAGCTCAATACAGGGTGTTAAGAAAGTTCGTGTGAGGGGTGGAATATCAGCTTCCTAACCATAACATCAAAAAACGTAATATACGCAAGGGAAATGATTTTTGTCCCTTACACGAACTTTCTTAACATCCCGTAAACTTTGGCACAAAATCGATGCAAAACGAAGCAGTTTTTCTTTTACCGAAGAAACGTCTTCTACAATCGAAATCAAAACAGGTATTCAAGCTAGTTTATCAACGAATATCTTGAGCAGATTGAAGTCACGCATATAACTGCAATTCACGATTGAAAGCGAAATTTCCTAAACAGTCATAAAACTCAACTATGCTACAATGACTAATTACTTTTTATGAATAGACAAATATAATTATGAAATTGCAAGAAATTATAGACTTCCTAATTAAATAATGAAGGATTGAAGCATACGATTCAGCGACATGACAACTATTCAATGTGGAAAAATTTTAAAGTTCTTTCAATCAACCAACAAAACTTTTCAATGAACGTTTTGGATAAACCAATGAAATAGTGTCATATCAACCATTACTGTAAGCTAAAGAGCATATGCTTGAATTTATAATTTTCACTAAAACGAACGTTAAGTTTGCCTAAAGTCACCAGCCAGATACTACAACACTAATGAAATAGCTTATTTCTGCTCGGTGTAGTTCTGGCTTTAAGCTTTTTTTGAGTTTTAACAACTTTTATTACGTTTTAAGCTACACCCCGATAACTGCATGTTGAATCACGATGATATTTTTCATAGTTGATGCAAAGGACACAAAATTCTTTTTGAGACCTTCAAATGATCTCTAAAGGTCGAAATTCAAATTTCCGACAAATGACCTTGAATGACCTTGAAATTTTTTTCAGACATTTATTGATTCATTTGGAGTTTTTATACCAAGTAACGATCAGATCGCGCGCATATCTTCATAGATAATGCGGTGAACGTAAAAATTTGAAGTGAAATTTTTTGTCGGTAACCTGAGTTATAATCTCCACTTCGTTTCACTACGCTCCGATAATTAGGTAGTATTCGGTTTCTCAACGCAGTGAAGGTAAGGGTAAACGAGAACCCGTCAGCTCACTTTTTCATCTTCAAAGTCTCAGCTGACTGGAGTAAAAGTGTCAGCGCTAAGAGCTGACTAACTTTTCTTTAATTAAATCAAATCTGATTTAACCTAAAATGATCTATCTTAGACGGTATCAAATAATCTAAATAAATCCAGACTAGATTTAATTAAAGAAAAGTTAGTCAGCTCTTAGCGCTGACACTTTTACTCCAGTCAGCTGAGACTTTGAAGATGAAAAAGTGAGCTGACGGGTTCTCGTTTACCCTTACCCCGAATAATACTTGGTTGGATTCGGTTCCTTCCAATGTTCCTACAAAGTAGAACAAAAGAATAAAACGAATAAAATCAAGTTTACAATCATCAAAAGATTAACTCTCAATTCAGAGGAGAAATTTTACCCTTGCTTGCAGAAAGACTTTTTTCGTCCTAAAATGAATTTTATAAAAGTGACAAAAGATTTAAACTTTTGGGTTTTTTAGTCTGACGATGCCTTTTTCATTGTCACGCTCTTAAATTGTCACAAATGTCAGATTCAACTGTAAATCAATGTAAGCTGTTTTACATTTATGCGTCTATTTTACAGAATTCAGTGTATTCATATCTGCTTGAAAAGCACGCTTAGGCATATGTCAACAGTTTGGTATCGCCCAATAATTTGCTTTTCTTTCAGGTCCAAACTTTTTTGAATTTCTTTCAGTTTTACTCAAGCTTCGAGTTTTCAGTCAGCTTTCAAACTAAACGCTTCTCAGTGTGTTCAGTGCTTCTTGCATCGATACTTCTAATAATGGCAGGACACAATAACTATTCTGATAAAAGTAAGTTTCATCTTATTTATGATTTCAAGATAATTCACTCTTTACCCGACCATTTTATTTAGTTAAATTCAAAGTGAAGCATTTGAATGAATACCATGAGATAGTTATTGATGCATATGATGGAAGATATGAATACAGAAGACAACAATTATTTGAACAGGCAAGTAAAGTTTATTATTTAAAGTTTTTCACTTGATACTTGCAATTGCAATTGCTTTTACTTGAATCAGATGAGTTAAACTTAAATAACTTGCTTTACACAATCTACATTAAAGTCAAAACAGTGAGCTTTTTGCCCGAAAATTGTGACCAAACTGAATGGATTCTAAAGCAAATTACTAAATAACATGAAAGACATAATTAAACGAATCACGAAAAAAAGACAAAGTCTAATCAGAATCTATTGAGAAATACCCGTAAACAGGGTTGGGGAAACATGTATTATAGAATCTGTAATTCAATCTATTGAATTTTTGAGAAAAACTTTTTTCCGTCCTAAGTTAATGGGTTGTTGGATTCGGATGACTTTTCGTCTTTCGATTAAAGATTTTGGTCAACTGTACAAAGAAATTAGTTCAATTTGCAAGAAACATTTCAATTAAACGAATAGAATCAATTTTACACCCAACAAATACCTATTTGATCAAGTGATTGATTCATGAATCAAATGTTTCTTATGATTTACCATATTTCCGCACAGAGAAGGCCACAAGGTATTTGTTTCTATCAAACTGCATATTCCGATTCCCAGACAAGGTTAACATTTCAACAATGTTGATAAAGAACTTAAAATCATTTTTAATTGTTTACAAAACTCAGATAACCTTTAATTTTGGATTCTTATCACAACCAGCTGTTTGTATTGAAGTCAATGTTCAACTTTTATTAATATAATATCATTGAGAAATAGCAATTTTACAGAATTATTATTTTGATATTTGTTTGAAAAGAGCGCTTTGCCTCAGGTCGACAATTTTTTCGCCCAATAATCTTCTTCTCTTTGAACTTCAAACTTTTTTGAGTTTTTTTCAGTTTTACTCAAGCTTTTAGTTCTAATTAGACGCTTCACCACGTGTTTAGTGTTCTCTAGCTCAGACACATTGATATCGATACTAAAATATTAAAATGGCAGAACAGAATAGAAATTCTGATAGAAGTAAGTTTCATTTTATTTATAATTTCAAGATAATTCACTCTTTACCTTTCATTTTATTCAGTTACTTTCAAAGTGAAGCATCTGAATGAATATCATACAATAATCATTGATCGGAATGATGACAGATATGAATACAAAGACCAACACCACCAGTTATTTGAACAGGTAAGTGAAGTTCTGTATTTAATCTTTGAACAATAACTCATCATTATCTATACATTTATAGCTGGAATCAATAACTGGAGTGCCAAGTAGATATACAACTGATGTGAACATACTTAAAAACATGAACCCTTCCAACGTTAATAATACTCTTCGGTATCTGTGGTGTTTTTACAACCGAAAAGCGTAATGCAACATTTCACTCATTTATATCATGATGTATATTAATTTTTTTTAACTTTTCTTAATAGCTTCGTCCCTGATTCGCTTATGAGATACTATGCACATCGAGATATCTTCAGTCTAAATATTCGTGATGGTGAGCGCTTTCATCTCCAATATTATGTTTATTATGGGCAATGGATTTCTAAACGTATAAGTATGCGTTATGAGCTAGTGGAAGAAAGAGACGTTCCTGAAGAAGGCTGCGGTCGACGTTTCTGTCAATATAGATGCACTGAACCTTACTTTAAAAGGTTGAAAGATCTCGTTAATAATGATGAAATGAATGCAAAAATTACTCAACTTGTCCAGCCACTAATTGAATCGGAGTTGAATGCGGAAGCCTCCAAGATTTTCATAGAGTTCAATGTTGAACAATATTTTTATCCACCTTGTGTTTGGAGGACACGGATGCTTGCAGAGACTGGTTATACACACCAAAATGATCGCTATCTAAGAACTCGAGGTTGAACTCGTATGGTATCTGCCCGCGGTAAATGAGCCTTGTTTCAATTTCACTCAATAAACTAAGTTGAGAGTTACAATTTGACAATCCCTGAAAGACATTCATTAGAGTTGAACAGACACGGATATTTACTCGGATTCGCAGCCTGGTATACATTTGTTTAGGAATCGAATAATACTTGGCTGGATTCACTTTCTTTTAATATTTCAACAAAATAGAAAAAAAGACAAGATAATTTAAAAATGAACATAAGTTTCGATCTTTTTTTCTGAAAATCACGTTATAAAAAGTAATGTTTGCTACGGCGAATGGTATTAACAATAATTAAACTTAACTTCAAAAAGTTTGTAAAATTTGAAGACATTCATCCGAATGTCATAGACAAGAAGATTGAGAAAACCACGAATTTGATTTTGCGTTTGTGCTACAAACAAAAGCTTTAATAGTACCATCTCTTTTAGATGTGTCTAATAAGTATTAAAACCAAACATCCATTTTGATGGACATTTGAAGCACAAGTTTAGTAGCAATTGACAGCTTTCGTTTGTTCAAAACTTTAAGAGTTGCAACTCGAGATAAACGAAACTGATCACAGTAAAAATAATAGCATTGTATCGCTCTTTATGTTGTTTAGGCACAAAGATATGAACCATTCTAGCCATACTTGTCATTTTTGAAATAAATTAATTTTCGATCATTTTATAGTCACGAAAATTGTTTAGTAACTCCTTCACGCCATTGCTTCTCAGTTGGCTCAACCAAAAGGAAAGGTTGATTAAAATCCTTTATTTCAATTTTTATTAATCTTTGTTATAATCCTTCAATGAGGCTGAGGTACCTTGTTCATCAAAGCAATACACTTGACTCTCAAACCTTGCACGCCAAAAATACTGTACAATTCCTCAAAGATATTCATTAGAGTTGGGAATATCCGAATATTCACTCGTTGAGGAACCGAGTAATTCTTGGTTTGATGTGGTTCTTTCAATCTTTCAACAAAATAAAACAAAAGCTAAAATAAGAAAATAAATATTTTGTTCAGATCTTTTTTTCTGGAATATTAGGTTACTAAAAGTGTTGTTTGCATTAGGCTCTTGATTGATACAAGTTCCAACCAAAATGACATGGCCCTGGAATAGAGATTGTCCCCAATTCAAGAGAAATATTGAATAAAGAAAAAGTTTGATTGAAAATGGAAAGGGAGTGAAATTTAGTTTTGAATCAACTTACAATCCAATAATAAAGGCTATTGTATCTTTTCTTCTGCGTTAAAACTGAGTCGATGATAGTACAGACGATAGGATTTTTTACAAGCTCAGTAGGACCTGGTCTCAAGGAAAATCGCACATTAACTCGCTGATGTGACAAAAAAACTTGGGAAAACCAAAAATGCATATTTTGTGTTTTGTGCTACAAACAAAAGCTCAACAGTGCGATCCCTTTTAGATGTGTATTTATAAGTATTAAAACCAAACAACCATTGTCATTGAGCTTGTTACAATTGAAAAAAAACATTAAATTGGTCAATAAACTTACAATAATAAGGTTTAAAATTGGATATTGACTGTCAATGCTTGAGTCAAATCATTTACAATTGGTGAAATTATCAGATCAAATTTTATCTGTTTGCATTGTCAACACTATTATCTGTTGATATTGAAGTTAAGGTTCAACAGTGATTAAACTAGAAATTTCAAGGAATCACTTATTATATTTCAGTTTTGTTTGAAAAGAGCGCTTTTAACTGACTTGTCACTGTTCACTCGTAGAAACTTGTTTTCGTCCAATAATCTGTTCCTTTCTTGAGACCAAAACTTTTTTGAATTTTGTCGGTTTCACATTTTCTTGGAGTCATTTCAATTCCTTGCATTTCATTTTGTGCCACAATTCAACTAATTATCGTCTAAAATGAATGGAATGGATAAGAATAGTGATAATTCTGATAAAAGTAAGTTTCATCTTGTATTTAATTTTTAACTAAATTAATCAATTCTTTACATTTGACAACCTTAGCAATATTCAAAGTGAAATTTCTTGGTGAATACCATGATTTTGTTATCGATTGGTCAGATGAAAGTCATGAATATAAACAAGTACAATTATTTAAACAGGTAATTACAATTGATAAATCAATTCTTTCAGTTTTTTATTTCAAATTTGGTCTTGTTTTTTATTAATAGCTGGAATCAATAACTGGAATCGCTAACAAACATATATGTCAAGTAGATTTAGAGGCAGATAATCAGGATGGCTTCCTTACAGAAAATCCAGAATATTATTATTCAAGCGTCTTACAAAAGTAATTTCTTGTTTTCAATACTTACCATCGTATTTCAATTAATCCTTTGCATCTCTTTTATACAAATTGATTGTATTCAGTGACTTTACGAAAGACAGGATCTACAACCAATACATTCATGATGACGAGATCTTGGTTTTGAGCTATCACCCAGTTTACGCTTCCAGTAGAGTCAATAATTATCTTTATACTTTTTATGTATTAAGAAATGAAAACATGATTCTTGAAGGAGTTTGTACCCCATCTGCTCGTTACTGTCCACATATTCAGTCTAGAACTGTTTTCAACAAAAGAAAATACGTCTTCTCAGATGAATTTCAATCAAAAATTATTGATTGCATTGTCTCATCAATTAGTTCTTCTGTAGAAAGATTTCTCATGGAATTCAATGTGCAACAATATTCAAGATTGACTTGTACAGAAACCCCTGAATATCGGTTAGATCCATCCAGGCCAAGAGTTAGGCTTTACCTAAGAACTCGTGGTTAAAAATTTCCATCAATCTAACATTGTATTTGTTTATTTGAATAAATTTTCATTTCATTTTTCAGTCAACTGTTCTTGAAAATAACGCTTGATTCATACTTCTTTAACTAAGCAGACATATTTAAACTTTCTGATAAAGATTAAAACAAATATATTTTTTACAAACTTATGAAAACTCTTTTACAGGAATGGTTAGATTCAATAGTTGAATAGTAGACTCGCAAATCGGTAGAACTGACGGTTATTTGATTAGAATAAATCGTAAAAAGATCTAAAATTATATTTAAAAAGTCTCAAAATGTTTTTACTTGTTGTCTATCTTGGATTAAATCGAGCTCTGAATATTCAAATATTCTACCTGAAGTTCGGCGATCGAAGATATTTGCTAAGACCAACGCAACTGAGGCATTAATGAATCTTAAAGATTATTCACCAGATATTTGTATTGAAGCAAGATACTTAAGAGAAGGAAGAGTAAAGATTTCCATCAGATTAAATTTCGTTTAATTTTCGATTAAAGTCTAGCTATTATAAAAAGGGCCTATGAAGTTAACTGGTCCCCTCGAAACACATGACACTTTTTGTACCCAATAGCGTAATCTTACATTTCACTTATTGAAATCATTTAGCATAAAGTGTATATAAACTATTTTCATAGCATCACTCCTGATTGCTTATGCGATATCCAATGAAGGGAGACGATATCCGCAGTCCCCATGGCGTCCCTCATCATCAATATTGGTTTGCTTATGAAGATGGTATTTCCAATCGTATCAATATGCGTTATAAGTTAGTAGATGAAAGAGACATTCCTGAAGGAGTCTCTAGTCGACATTTCTGTCAATATCAATGCACAGAAACTTCTTACGAGGGAAGTAGCCGAGGTCATTCGAATGCAAGTAAATATTTTTATCATAAACCAATTAAGTTTTATCTGTGTTTGATTTTCTCGCAATCTTTCGGGTAGCAAATTAAAAATAAATTAGAAAAATAGAATGAAAATTCAACTTTATGCATGTAAAGTATTGTAATTAGCATACAAAACAAGATGCTTGCAACAAAAAGGCTCATCGCAATGGGTTCATATTATTGATTTCAAATTAATTTATGCATAGCGATCGACAATAAATGGTGCTTTTCGGGTCTTCTATCCATTTGCTAATCTAAAGACTAGAACCTTGTTTGTTTTGAAGGCGAATTCAATGGTCCACTAATTATTAAAATCTGTTCGGATGACTTCGGTTACCTCAGTAGTAAGTATGATATACAGTCTGAAAGAGGAGGAGCCATCTTCTTCACCTTTGTCTTCTTCATCTTCATCATAATTAGCAAAAATTAAGTGGTAAAGTCAAAACTTTTTGTCAAAAGCTTTTGTTTTTAAGATTGTAAAGCTTTTGACAAAAAGTTTTATGACTTTACCTTTTAGTTGAGACCAAAAATAAGTTGGCCTCTTTTGCCTTCTCTTCTTTCCCCTCTCAATCCCCCTAAAAAAGCCGTCTATGGTATACAGTCTGAAAGAGACTCCTCCTCTTTCAGACTGTATATCATACTTACTACTTACCTCCCTTGTTCATTGTGTCACAAATCTTTATTTATCACTCGAAATAGAGGATTCAACTGTAAATCGAAGTAAACTGTTTTATAAGCACCAATCTATTGATACATTCACGAATAAACACCTTCTGCTTTACATTTAACTAATGATTTCGATTCAATTTTAATTTATGTCGATGCCTTTGATTAATTACCGATTGTTGATCATCATTTTAGGAATCTCTTCTCGTTATGTGAAATTATAAATTTATTTGTTAATCATTCAGTAATCACTTAATCCAATAATTTCTTATGACTTTACTCTTAAAATGAAAACTTTTCGTTTCTATCAAACTACATATTCCGATTTGAAGACAAGACTCACATTTGAAAAATATTAGCTGATGAAATGAAACCCATTATACTGTTGAAATGATAAGATCACATTGTATCCGTTTGAATTATTTGTTAGTATTTAAGTCAAGGTTGAAAAGCCATTTCACAGAATGGAGCATATTCATATCTATTTGAAAAGAGCGCTTTGGCTCAGGTTGACATTTGTTTCGCCCAATAATCTTGCAAGTCAAAACTTTTTTGAATTTTTGTCAGTTCTACTTAACCTTTCAGTTAAAACTAGAAACTTCTCCGCGTGTTCCGTATTTCTCAGTACCGATACTTGTTGAGATGGCAAAACAGAATAAAAATTCTGATAAAAGTAAGTTTCAAAATATTTATGATTGTAAGATAATTCCCTCTTTACCTTTCATTTGCCTCAGTTACTTTCAAAGTGAAGCATTTGGATGAATACCATGAGATAGTTATTGATCCAAATGATGACAGATATGAATCCAAACACCAACGTCAACAAATATTTGAACAGGTAAATAAAGTTCTTCATTCCATTTTTGAACAATAACTCATCATTATCTATACATTTATAGCTGGAGTCAATTACTGGAGTACCCAGTAGATATACAGTTGATGTTTTAATACATGTACTTAGAAACAGGAACCTTTCCGTTGATACTGTTCGGTATCCGTGGTCTTTTTCCAACCAAAAAGCGTAATACAACATTTCACTAATTCATATAATTTATCATAAGATGCATATTAATTTATTGGTTCTCAACTTTTCTTCATAGCTACGTTCCTGATTCGCTTGCGAGATACTCTGCGCTTCCTGATTTCTACGATCTGAATATTTTTGATGGTGAGCGCTTTTATCTCATTTATGACATTTCCTATTCGCATGATGTATCGAAACATTTAAGTATGCATTATACGCTAGTAGATGAAGGTGCCGTCCCTGATGAAGGTTGCAGTTTACGTGCCTGTCAATATCAATGCTCTGAAAGTTACTTCAAAAGGTTGAAAGATCTCATTTGTAATAATGAAATGAATGCAAAAATTACTCAGCTTGTCCAAACACAAATGGAATCGGATTGGGAATTGGACACGATTTTCAGAGAGTTCAATGTTAAACAACATTTTAGTATAAAATGTGATGTGGTTGATAGGTGGTCCATTGCAATGAATGGTCATGCACGGCGACATGATCTTTATCTAAGAACTCGAGGTTAAACCCTTAGTGAATGAGCTTTGTTTCAGTTTTACTCAATAAACTTTGCTTTCTTAATTTATTATAAATGTATGTTTATATGCATTATCCAAATATTATATTTACTCGGATTCGCGACTCGGTATTTCCTCGTTTAAACTCAGAGGGAAGATGAATAATAATATATCATATATGATATAATCAGAGGTAACAAATAATAGAGTTGATTTTTGGCAACTTTGGTAATTCTTCATAATATTCATGATATTTTATATCATGATTGCATGCTATAATTACTATCATACCCCGGACGTGAAGGAATTAAGATTTGTTCTAATTTTAGGAGACTCCAAAATTGAATCACATGAAGTCAAACGATATCATCCATAGACATTTGGTTCATTAGGAGTTCATAAAAAAAGATTTGAGTAAAGACGAACAAAAGTTCCTCCTTGACCCAATTTGGGAATTAAATCTAATCAAATTGTTTGGATTGGTATATCTGCATTAAACTGGGGAGAAGAGGATCTACTTCAAGCACGGAATGGACTGGAATCCCTCGGAGTCTCAACGGATTATTTTCGACTTGTTTAAAAATCATTAAATTAACAAAAAATAAGACGGTCACAGTTGCGTGATATCAATGCTGAGGTTTTCTTTATCTTTTAAAATGATCTAAATGTTTAGAAAAATAATCATTTAACCCTGAAACTTTCTTCTACATATAATATATTTATTATATTCTTGTGTTTTGACTGAAAATTAGCAGCACAATTGAAACATATCTATTATGACAAGTTATTGCGTTTAATAAACTTTGGTCTTACAATCATTCTCGTTTGTTTAGAACCAACTTTCATATGAACACAACCAACATTCGAAAGAGTAAAACCGGCTGACTGTAAAGACACAGAGCTTTCAAAACAACAAAACCAGCTTTCAAATGACCAAAACCTACTTTCATAAGACAAAAACTCTCGAGTTAAAGAGTTACTTTATTCAGAGTATGCAAAGAGGACTATCACTGATTTTTCCAATGAACTTCCATTGAAGATGGTAAACCACAATTAATAAGTCAAAATTTATCAAAATGTTAACTTATATTCCAAGATGCTTCAGAAAAGAAGCAATTAACAACTAACGAAACAGTCTATACTCTGAATAAAGATGCGGCTTTAACTCGAGAGTTTTTGTCTTATGAAAGTAGGTTTTGTAACAAACAATAACTCATCATTATCTGTACATTTATAGATGGCATCAATAACAGGAGTACCAAGTAGATATACAAATCGTAGTATGGTTAGAAACCTCGACCCTTCCGACGTTAACGATATTTCTCGGCACTTGCATTTCTTTGTCAACCGAAAAGCGTAATGTTACATTTAACTAAGTTAAATCTTTCATCATAATGACGTATATTGATCTATTGTTTCTCAACTTTTTTTCATAGTGTGTTCCCTGATCTGCGTAAGAGACACCATCCGGAGGATAATCGTAGTTTAAATATTCTTATGGTGAATGTTTTCATCTCCAATATTATGTTTCTTATGATTTCATTTGTTTGAAACGTATAAGTATGCGTTATTGCCTAGTAGATGAAAAGAGGCTTTTCTGAAGAAGGCAGCGATTCACGTTTCTGTCAATATAGATGCACTGAGATTTACTTTAAAAGGTTGAAAGATCTCGTTAATAATGATGAATTGAATGCAAAATTACCCAGATTGTCGAGCCACTAAGAAAATTTAATTTGGATGCGGAAGTTGAGAAGCTCTTCCGTGAGTTCAATATTAAAAAATATTTATATCCAGTTTGTGGAGGTTATCGGGATATACGAGATGCTTATTATAGACGCCAATTTAAAGTTTATCTAAGAACCCGAGGTTAAATAAATTTAAGGAATGAAATGAATATTTGTCCTCAGTAAACTTTTCTTTCAATTTCCATAACGAATCTCGATGAAATTTTCATTCTTCTTTCAATTCTCCTTTTTTCATTATACATGTTTGGTAAAGCAAAGGTATATCAAATAATAAAGTACATGATGATGAGCGATATCTAATGAACATAACTTGATTCTTCGAGAACACATAAAGTGAACATTTTTGATAGTGATTGAGAAATACCAATCATCTATGGATTCAAAAGAAAATTTTTGCATAACATGAGAAGACATAATTGAACTACAATGCGGAAAATAGCCAACTGTACAAAGAGATTAGTTCAAACTTGAAACTCAATTTTGTCAAAGATTTCCTAAAGATCAGCGAAACTCTTACATGAAACATTAAACAAATGAAATCAATTTTACAACCAACATAGAATTAACACCCCATCTGCTCGTTACTGTCCACATATTCAGTCTAGAACTGTTTTCAACAAAAGAAAATACGTCTTCTTAGATGAATTTCAATCAAAAATTATTGATTGCATTGTCTCATCAATTAGTTCTCCTGTAGAAAGATTTCTCATGGAATTCAATGTGCAACAATATTCAAGATTGACTTGTACAGAAACCCCTGAATATCGGTCAGAGCCATCCAGGCCAAGAGTTAGGCTTTACCTAAGAACTCGTGGTTAACAATTTCCATCAATCTAACATTGTATTTGTTTATCTATACAATACAATATATAAAGTCAAACTATGAAATTTTTGCGGGAAGATTGTGGTCAAACTGAACGGGTTCTAAAGAAAATTTTCACATAGGATGAAAGCCATGATTAAACTACAATCGCAAAAAATAGTTCGAACTTTCTCGGAATTCAGGTTACTGAGAAATTAGCGTCCAAACAGGCTGGGGGAAAAAATGCAGAATCCGTATCTTTTACTATTGACTTTGGGGGAAAAACTTTTTGGTTATTCAGGTTGATGGTTTATTGTTGCATTAGAAGGATAAGTAAAACTATCTTTCGAGTAAAGAGTTAAGTGAAAAATATAGTACCTTAACTGTACAGAAAGATTTCATTCTGTTCAGCTGTATAACCAGATTTTATTTTATTTTTTAGTTTTTCTCATTGACGATGGTTTTTCATAAAGAATTTGAGTCTTTAAATATGGATTAAATTTATTGTATTTCAGTGAAAAAATTACGATCAGTCATGATCGGGGTTCCACTTGTTTGAATAAATTTTCATTTCATTTTTCAGTCAACTGTTCTTGATAATAACGCTTGATTCATACTTCTTTAACTAAGCAGACATATTTAAACTTTCTGATAATGATTAAAAAAATTTTTACAAACTTATGGTATGACAGAATCTGTATCTTAAGAAAACTCTTTTACAGGAATGGTTAGATTCAATAGTTGAATAGTCGCCTCGAAATCGGTAGAACTAGCGGTGATTTGATTAGAATAAATCGTAAGAAGATCTAAAATTACATTTAAAAAGTATCAAAATACTTTTACTTGTTGTCTATCTTGGACCAACTCAAGTTCTGTATATTCAAATATTCTACCTGAAGTTTGGCGATCGATGATATTTTCTAAGACCAACGCAACTGAAGCATTAATGACTCAAAATTAAAGATTAATCATCAGGTATTTGTATTGAAGACCAACCTACATACATTGCAACCTACATAAAAGAAGGAAGAATAAAGATTTCCATCAGACCAATTTTCGATTAAAGTCTGGTTATTATAAAAAGACCCTATGAAGTTAACTGGTCCCATCGAAATATTACATGACACTTTTTGTACCCAATAGCGTAATCTTACATTTCACTTGTAGAAATCATTTAGCAAAAAGTGTATGTAAACTTTTTTCATAGCATCACTCCTGATTGCTTATGCGATATCCAATGAAGGGAGACGATATCCGCAGTCCCCATGGCGTCCCTCATCATCAATATTGGTTTGCTTATGAAGATGGTATTTCCAATCATATCAATATGCGTTATAAGTTAGTAGATGAAAGAGACATTCCTGAAGGAGTCTCTAGTCGACATTTCTGTCAAAATCAATGCACAGAAACTTCTTACGAGGGAAGTACCTGAGGTCATTCGAATGCAAGTAAATATTTTTATCATAAACCAATGCGGTTTTATGACTGTTTGCCTGTCTCGAAATCCTTCGGGTAGAAAATGAAAGATTACAGCGTATTGTAACGAGAAAAACAGAATCAAAATTCAATCTTTACAGTTAAAGTCAAAGAGTATAACAAGAGAGAACACTTAATGTTAACCATTTTTATCAGTAAATTGTTGAAAAAGTCACCACAAGATGGCGGTGAAAGAAAAAATCATTTGTTTTTCAATGTAAAAGTCAGCGGACCGAGCGGACGACGCCATGCAGCGGTGATGTGCCTCAACTAAAATTTTACATTCAAGTATACCTTAATTTTTGTACCAGAGGCATCGTGTGGTGACTTTTTTAACTATTTTGCGATAAATATGCTCCCATTGAAGTGAACACTCTTCTTACTCTTTGGTTAAAGTAAAGAATGGTAATGAGCATACAAAACAAAATGAGTGAAACAAAAAGGCTCATAGCAATAGCTTGATCCATGCAATTTTAAAGATTCGAAAGTCATTATCAAACGAATCCAATAGTTTAACCTGGAATAACCTAATAGTTTTCCTGTATCAAGATTTCTCATTGAATTCAAAGTGCAACAATATTTTAGCATGCATTTCACAGAAACTCTTAGATACTGGCCATTTAGACCAAGAGTTTATCTAAGAACTTGTGGTTGACAATTCGAATCAATGTAACACTATGTTACTATGAAACATTCTATCCATACTTTAAAATTTCGAAATAAGTTGATTTTCGATCATTTTCTAGCCACGAAAATCCAGTAACACACGGTTTTGTATTCCATATCGTTATTCAGAGTCTCATATGTAAACAGCTCAGGTATGAGGACAATATCTCGTTCAATTCCTCCAAGCTATTGTTTCTCAGTTGGCTCAACCAAAAGGAGAGTTGATTCAAATTCTTTATTTTAACTTTATATTGATCTTTATCAATAATAATCCTTCAATGAGACTGAGGTACCTTGTTTAGCAAAGCAATAGATCTCTAAGAGTCTAGAAAGTCTTTTAGTGAAATAGACATAACAATTGATTTATGGCAACTGACAACTGTCATTGATTCCATCATGTTTATAATCATCGTGGCTAAATAATGAGGTGAATGAATTTTCTTATGATTATTCATCCGATTGTGTTTATTATGAAAGAGAAGACCCGATTGAGGGAACCTGTCTTAGAAGATTATTTCGAAATTTATTGTTAGTTGATATTGTTAATCAAATCTCTTTTTTAATTTTTCATTGAATATTAATTTTCTTATTTGTTTTTTCCACTCAGATTGCTGAAATATCTCATGCATTTCTAATAAAAGTAGAACGCGAAGTTATTGTTGCATTTGTCAGAAACCAAAGATTTTTGAGAGGAGTAATCAATTTCTCCGATGAACAAATTAAAGGATATTGTGGTGTACTCGAATCGATAGCCGGCAATCATATTATGGCGTACGATATGCGAAATGGTCCCAGTATAAAACAGTTGTACTTTGGGACGTATACTCCCGAAGTCGATTTATCTTACTTCCCAAACCTTGAAAGACATATTACTAGTAATGAAGGTGATTATATAAATATTTTGGTTATATAGAAATGTTTTCTCATGAAAATCTATTGCCCAGTCCCATACAGTTACTACTATGGTCCAGTATTGGAAAAGCTTAAAATTGTTGAGCTGAGTTGTTCATCACGTTATGCTGCAGAAATTAGTTATGGTTTCCAATTTATGGATTCATGTCCAAATTTACAAAGTGCACATATTTCGATAAATGGTCAATGGATTACTGATAAAACATTAAAACACGGATCTTTACAAGATGTAGTCATAGATTTTGTGAGTATTAATTTTAATGACATAGCCAATTTTATTCGATCTATTCCAGATTAAAATCAACACGATTAGGTTACGTTATCATGGAAGGGTCATCTGTTCAAAATTACTCCATATAAACTAATTGATTTTTTATTTACAGTGTAATAATGATGACTTCGAGTGGAATGATTTAAGCAGATTGCTTATGAAATATCAGAATCTCAAACATCTTGCATTGTGGAAACAACTGCACATAACAGATGAACATATCAAGAAATTGGTTCACATTTTACCCAATTTAGTCTTACTTGATGCTCGTGAATGTTTTTCTTTTTATGTTCAAAGAATTTGTGGAAGATATGAAAGATCAATCAAGTTTTACTTCGATGTTATAGCGGATGACATAGGATTAGATTGGCCTCAGTTATCCACTAAAGCAGAAAAGATTAGTCGAGGTTTTAATTTCATGAAACATTGTTTCCGTAAAGATTTTGATGACCTTTCATTTTTCTTGGCTCCAATTGATAATCGAAAACTACATACTTATCGTTGTATTTGTTATTTTGTATCTCACCTGTTCTTTCTTAAAGCAATTAAAGAGCCTTAGATAACTTTCTTGAGGTTTCAGAATATTGTGAAATTGATAATTTTTCTTTGACATTTCGACTAATCTTTCTTGATATGTTAGATTTTTGCAAGATCTAGCTATAGAGTTCGTAAGTATCAATTCGATTTTAAATTACATTGCTTTTTGGAAATAAATTCGGGATGTCAAATTCATTATTATCTAAGAACTCGAGGTTAAACTCGCTTATTAATATGAATATTATGATGAAATGAATGCATAAATCACGCAGATTGTCCAGCCACTAAGGGAATCGGAGTTGGATTCGGAAGCGGACTCGATTTTCAGAGTTCAATCTTAGACAATTTTTTTCCAGTTTGTGATGTGCGTCATAGTTGGAGACTTGCAGAGACTGGTCATGTACGACAAGAGGATCTTTATCTAAGAACTCGAGGTTAAACCTGTAGAGAATGACCTTGTTTCAATTTTACTCAATACACTTGGCTTATTTAATTTAAATGCATTTTTAATATACACACATGTATATATTAGGGGTATCAAAAAGTTCTGTCGTTTTTTTCTCTTATTATTTAGCTTCAATTTTGAATTAGTTTTGATTGTTCAATTGACTCAATAATTTTAGATATACAAGAACATTAATATAAGTGAATTCATGACATTTTTTGAGGCGATCGGAGTTAATTAACTATAATTAATTAGCTAATCAAGATGGGCTAGTTGAAGATGCAATTTTAAGGTCCCAGAATTTATTGATTTTTTTTATGAAAAATTGAAATTAAAATCAAAAATCAACATCAATCGAAAGTTCGAGGTCCACATAATCACTCGACAAAATTTGCAACTTCCAATCATCATCATTATTAAATTATCTAATTATAAGTAAAAATTCGTTTAACATTGAATTTCCATAGCAAGTTTTTTTTGGACTTTTTTTGAAATTTTAGTGAAATCCCATTGAAAAATCCCATAGAAAATGGTCAAAAAATGAGTTTTTTGAGCTACCAATTTAAATAATTTAATAATGATAATGATTAGATGTTTCAAATTTTGCTGAGTGATTATGTGGACCTCGAGCTTTCGATTGATTTTGATTTTTGATTTTAATTTCAATTTTTTCATAAAAAAAATCAATAAATTCTGGGACCTTAAAATTGCTTCTTTATCTAGTAGTGTATTGGGCAGCTAATTTATTATAGTTAATTAACTCCGATCGAGTCGAATTTGGCCTAAATGCACTTATATTAATGTTCTTGTATACCTAAAATTATTGAGTCAATTGCATAAGTATATCTTATTCAAAAGCGAAGCAAAAGTCACTGGTAAAAAAAACGACAGAACTTTTTGATACCCCTAATACAATCGAAATATTTACTCGGATTTGCGACTCGTCATTCACTCGTTTAAACTTAATAGTTAGACTCAAATTTCGAGTCTATAATTGAAAAATAGCAATATTAAAGAGTTTGGTATTTTATATTTGTTTGAAAAGAGCGCTTTGGCTCAGGTCGACACTTGTTTTCGCCTAATAATCTTCTCTTTGAACTTTGAGTTTTTTTCAGTTTTACTCAAGCTTTTAGTTCTAACTAGACGCTTCACCACTTGTTCAGTGTTTCCTAGCTCAGACACATATTGATATCGATACTAAAATTCTAAAATGGCAGAACAGAATCACCATTATGATAAATGTAAGTTTCATTTTATTTATAATTTCAAGATAATTCACTCTTTACCTTTCATTTTATTTAGTTGCTTTCAAAGTGAAGCATTTGAATGAATATCATGATATAGTCATTGATCCAAATGATGACAGATATGAATCCAAACACCATCATCAACAATTATTTGAACAGGTAAGTAAAGTCCTGTATTTCATCTTTGAATAATAACTTATCAATATTTTTATATTTGTAGTTGGAATCAATAACTGGAGTACCCAGTAGATATACAACTAAGGTGTATATACTTATAAACGACAATCCTTCCCCCGTTGATAATACTGATCGGTATCTGTGCGGGATTTTTAACAACCAAAAAGCGTAATACAACATTTCACTAATTGATATCAATTATCATGCGATGAATATTAATTAATTGTTTCTCAACTTTTTTCATAGCTTCGTTCCTGATTCACAAATGGAATACTATCCACGTCATGATATCTTCAGTGTAAATATTCGTGATGGTGCGCGTTTTTATCTCCAATATGGTGCTTCTTACGCGCATCGTATTTCCAAGCGTTTAAGTATGTGTTATTACTTGGTAGAAGAAATCGACGTCCCTGAAGAAGACTGCTATATAGGTGTATGTCAATCTAAATGCACTGAAAGTTACTTTAAAAGGTTGAAAGATCTCGTTAATAATGATGAATTTAATGCTAAAATTACTCAGCTTGTCCAGCCACTATTTGAATCGAGAAATGCAGCGGAAGTTTACAAGATTTTCAGAGAGTTCAATGTTAAACAATATTTATATCCAGTTTGTGATTTTGATCATAGGTGGAGACTTGCAGAGACTGGTCATGTACGGCAAGATAATCAATATCTAAGAACTCGAGGCTAAACCCGTATTTTAGCCCTGTTTAAATTTTACTCAATAAACTGAGTTGAGAGTTTAAATTTGACCATTTCTCAAAATTATTCATTAAAGCTGCATAAATTAGAATGTTTACTCTGATTCGCAACTCGGTATTCACTCGTTGAGGAACCAAAGCATACTTGGTTGGATTAGATTGCTTTTAATATTTTAACAAAATAGAACAATAGATAAAATAAGAAAATAAACATTTTGTTCAGATCTTTTTCAGGAATATTAGGTGTTAAAAAGTGTTGTTTGCTATAGATTTGCTTGAGATTGTATCCAATTCAAGAGAAATCTATATCTATATCAATACAATATATACAATATATAAAGTCAAACTATGAAATTTTTGCGGGAAGATTGTGGCCAAACTAAACGGGTTCTAAAGAAAATTTTCACATAGGATGAAAGCCATGATTAAACTACAATCGCAAAAAATTGATTGAATGAAGTAAAGTAAAGATTAAAGATTGAATTATTGCATTGCTTGCGTTACAAATTTAATCTATGATATCACGACGATAAGATTCTTTACTAGGTCATTTGAACCTTGTACCACTAAACTCAAAGAGTATAACAAGAGGTAGCATGCAATGTTAATTATCTTTTTGAGATAAGGATAGGGAAAAGGTCTCGGACGCGATGGCGCCACTAACAACCCTTTTAATTTTTCTTTAATTTTTTTCAACTTTTTCTCATCAAAAAATTTGTTTACATTTATTTTTTTGTCATTTTTTCGTCTCTTTCCTAATCTCTTTCTCGCTGCTAGCTCCCTCTTTTCCGTCACCTTTTAACTTCTTATCTCTCTTATCTATAGCTCTCATTGACGTGCTCTCTCTTGCTATTACTCTTTGACTAAACTCCAGTATCTTTGAGAATATCATGTTTACGAAAAAAAGCTGTTTTCTTAAGTTTGCTTTACAAATAAACACAATTGCTGTCCTTCTGAAACACCATCGCAATGGATATCGATCGCGAAATGTAATCACTGATCATTCATTAATGAATTCATAAATTGTAAATATTTGAATGTTATTGTTTACTGTTTCCGAGTTCAGATCATTTTAATATTGATATTTGTTATAATGGGAGAACAGAATAACAATGCTTATGAAAGTAAATTTTATTTTCAATTTGAATTTTCCCTCTCACATCTGTAACACCATTATTTGCTTGAATCAGCTAACAATGGTGTTACAATTACAATGGTAATTACAATGGTAATTTGTAAGTTGAACTTGAATAATTTACATCTTCACATATTGTAATAAAGACAAACCAGGAAATTGTGACCAAACTGAACAGATTCTGAGCTAAATTTTCAAATGTAGAATATTGTAGAATGAAAGCTGTAATTAAACTACAATCACGAAAAATAGCCAGAGTTTAATCAGAATTCAGGTTAAAGAGAAATACCCGTTTAAACAGGGTTAGGAAAATTTAGAATCTGTAATTTAATCTTTTGACTTACGAGAGAAAAACTTTTTCGCATTCAAGTTGATGGTTTATTGTTGGATTAAAAGTACATGTATAACCATTAATAGAATCAATTTTACAACAAAAGCACGACACTCAACTCAAAGGAGAAATTTTCACCTTTGCTTAAAGAAATGTTTCTTTTCGTCTCAAAGTGAACCAAAGTGACAATAGCTAAAGATTTCAAATTTTGGATTTGTTAGTCGATCGATGACTTTTTCATTGAGTCCAAACTCTTTAATTATCACTCGGAGTAGCAGATTCAACTGATAATCGAAGTACGCATCATTATCTATACATTTACAGCTGGAATCAATAACAGTAGTACCAAGTAAATAGACGATGTGATTTTATTATACACAGAAACAGGAACAACGACGCTAATAATACTTTTTGGATTCCGATGCAATTTCACAGCCAAAAAGCGTAATACAACATTTCACTATTATTTATCATGGTATCTATATGAATTAATTGCTTCTCAATTCCTTTTCTTAGCTTCGTTCCTTATTCGATTATTAAATACTATGCACATCAAGATATCTCCAGGGCACACTTTCGTGATGGTGAGCGCTTATCCAATATTATGCTTCTTATAACCTTTTTATTTGTAAACGTATAAGTTTTCGGTATATGCTAGTGAGAAGAAGAAAGAGATATTCCTGAAGAAGGCTGCAATCAACATCTCTGTCGAGATTAATGCAATGAGAGTTACTTCAAAGTGTTGAAAGATCTCGTTAGTAATGTTGAATTGAATGCTGAAGCATGCTGAAACAGTTCAACAAGTCACTAAAAGCATTGTATTTTGATGCGGAAGCGGAGAAGATCTTCAGTGACTTCAATATTAAACAATATTTAATATTTAATTGTTGCTAAAACTAAAGGGTGACACAGGCAAACGTGTAAGAGCTTCAAACATTGAATGAGCACCATTGGGCAGTGATAATGTCTTCTTTTGTCGCTATTAGATAAGGAAAATTGTAATTTAAGTTCAACTTATTATTGACAAAATAGCAATTTTACAGAATGTAATATTTTCATATTTGTTTAAAAAGAGCGGTTTGTTGCAGGTCTACACTCGTTTTCGCCCAATAATCTGCTTCTCTTTCAGGTTCCAACTTTTTTCAATTTTTTTCAGTTTTACTTATTTATTAGTTATTTAGGGTGGTTGAGTTGTTCGCTTCGGTTCACGAACTACAGAGATGTATCATATTAAGAGATGGGTTCCCGTATATTGGGTTACAAAAGTCAGGGTTATGAGATGGAAGGCTATTTAGAGGGGATTCTTGATATCATAATGTGTTGACTTCCTTTTGATGTCACTAAAGGGTTTGTAATGGGGTGTTCGGATTCAATTTGTTTCAGTGATTTAGTTTTGTTCATGGTTGATGCTCTGGAGATGTTCAAACATTTGTTTTATCAAGTTAGTTACTTGGTTGGTTTCCAGATTGGTTATTAACCATTTAAATTGTCCTGGTGTTCCAAAGACACATGAGAGCCCGCATTTCCAATCTATGAAGATCGGACAGGCCTGTATTATGTGTTGTGGAATGGCTTAACCAGTTCCACAGGAACAGATTATTTTCGGGTTATATTGAAAATCGTAAGTTCCTACTAGGAACTTTGTTTTCCAATCTATTTTGTTGTGTTTGATAAAATGTTTTGTTGGCCATATGTATGATAATCTGGGATTTAGTCTCTTATGATGTCTTTTTGTCATAAACTTGTGAATTATCTCTTTGGTCTTACTTAACCTTTAAGTTGAAACATGCGTTCAGTGTTCAGTATTTTTGTAGTTCAGACACATATCGATATCGATACTTGTTAAAATGGGAGAACAGAATCACCATTCTGATTAAAAGTTTCATTTTATTTATGATTTCAAGGTAATTTATTCTGCGTCTTTCATTTTATTCAGTTACTTTCAAAGTAAAGCATTTGAATGAATATCATGAAATAATTATTGATCGGATTGATGACAGATATGAATACAAACACCAACAATTATTTGAACAGTTAAGCAAACGGGATCTGCGAATGAATAGGGAAAATCTCCTCTTTGAATGGAACTTTTTTGAATAGAATTTTTTGTGCTGATTCCGAGTATTGGTATTGTTTTTTGATAGAAAAACGCGTTCGGGAGGAAAGTTTATATTATAATTCGAAGGTTGCATTTTTATCACATTAAAGAAGGTCGCTAAACTAGCCAATTCTTGTCGTAATCTAATCGTTATGTGCATGAGCAGGGACTTGCAGAGACTGGTCATGCATACCAAAGGGATCGTTATTTAAGAACTCGAGGTTAACCTTCAAGGTATCTGCCCGTGGTTATGAGCCTTTTTTCAATTTTACTCAATAAACTCATCTTTCTTGATTCAAATGTTGTGAGTAATGAGCTTAAAAACTTGCCAATTCCTCAAAGATATTCATTAGAGCTGGGAATATCCGAATATTCACTCGTTGAGGAACCGAGTAATTCTTGGTTGGATGCGGTTCTTTTAATCTTTCAACAAAATAGGACAAAAAGATGAAATATGAAAATAAACATTTTGTTCAGATCTTTTTTCTAGAATATTAGGTTACTAAAAGTGTTCCTACAAGTTCCAACCAAAATGACATGGCACTGGAATAAAGATTGTATTTTTTTAGAAAGGATTTTTTACAAGCTCAGCAGCACCTGGTCTCAAGGTAAATCGTAGATCAACTCGCTGATGTGATAAAAAACTTGAGTAAACCAAAAATGCATATTTTGTGTTTTATGCTACAAACAAAAGCTCAACAGTGCGGTCCCTTTTAGAGGTGTCTTTATAAGTATTAAAACCAAACAACCATTGAGCTTGTTGAGAATGAAAAAAACATTAAATTGGTCAATAAACCCACAATAATAAGGTTTGAAATTGGATATTGACTGTCCATGCTTGAGTACCCATTTTGATGAACATTTGAAGCAAAAGTTTAATAGCAATAATAACTGATAAGTAATAAGTCTAATAAGTTATAGGCTTAATCTTTTGTATTGATTCATGACAACTGCCATTATACCTCCATCATAATCATCATGATGAAAGTCAATAAACCAGGCCAATTCAGAAATCACTGGATCCAAAAATTTACCTATGACTATGACTTTACTTTTAATAGTCAAATGGCAATGAATCTACTTAGGAAATAAATCTTTTTGTTTCAATTAATATTAAACTTCATATTCCAATTTAAAGAAAAGGCTCACATTTCAGCAATGTTGCTTACAAGGGATGCATGGTTGGTCCTACGACAAGTTTGAATTTTTTTGGGCTTAAAATATTCTAATGGATCAGATATGACCCTTTGTAAAGTCTTTCGTTTCGGAAATTCTCCGTTTCAAAGTTACAGGGTGTCAAAGTATCAATTTTGCATAGTTTAACACTATTGAAAGCAATATGGATTTGTTAAAAAACATATTGACCATTTTATCATAGATCGACATTACAGACATTTACGCATATTAACCCGAGTAAAATCAGCTTTGAAACATTGTAACTTTGAAACGGAGAATTTCCGAAACGAAAGACTTTACAAAGGGTCATATCTGATCCATTAGAATATTTTAAGCCCAAAAAAAATTCAAACTTGTCTTAGGACCAACCATGCATCCCTTGTTAGTAAAAAACTGAAACTCATTTTTAATTGGTCAGATCAAATTTTATCTGTCATCACAGTTATCTGTTGATATTGAAGTTAAGGTTCATCTGTGATTGAAATATAAATTTTAAGGAATCACTTATTTTCATTTTTATTTGAAAAACGCGTTTCGGCTCTTGTCAACACTTGGTTTGAAATAATAAAGTATATGATGTAAGCAAAACCTAATGAACGAAGCTTGATTCTTTAAGCATAGAAGAAGTGGGAATTTTTTGATAGCTATCGAGATTGTTGATCGCTATCCATCCAATTTTAAAGCACTGAAAGTTGTTACACACGAACTCAAATCAATATTCAACTTATCTTCTTTTCCATTCATTTGGTGATAGAATGAAATAAAATTTTGGCGCACCTTCTTTGTTTGAATTGTTAACACAATTATCTGCTAAGATCAAATAAGTTCAACTAAAACTCTTCTAAAAGTGCGGTTAGGGAAGAGCAATTTTACAAAAGCTTTTCAGTTTTGTTTGAAAAGAGCGCTTTTAACTGATTTGTCACTGGTCACTCGTAGAAACTTGTTTTCGTCCAATAATCTGTTCCTTTCTTGAGACCAAAACTTTTTTGAATTTTGTCGGTTTCACGTTTTCTTGGAGTCATTTCAATCCCTTGCATTTCATTTTGTGCCACAATGCAACTAATTATCGTCTAAAATGGATGGAATTGATAAGAATAGTGATAAAAGTAAGTTTCATCTTGTATTAATTTTTAACTAAACTAATCAATTCTTTACATTTGACAACTTTAGCAATATTCAAAGTGAAATTTCTTGGTGAATATCATGATGTTGTCATCGATTGGTCAGATGAAAGTCATGAATATAAACAAGTACAATTATTTAAACAGGTAATTACAATTAATAAATCATTTTTTCAGTTTTTTTCTATTTCAAATTTTGTCTTGTTTTTTATTAATAGCTGGAATCAATAACTGGAATCGCTAACAAACATATATGGCAGGTTAATTTTTTCACAGATCAGGATATATTCATTACAGCAAATCCAGACTCTGAATTTTTTGGTGCAATTACCGAATATGTCTTACCAAAGTAATTTCTTGTTTTTAATGCTTACAGTTGTATTTCAATTAATTCTTTGCATCTCTTTTATACAAATTGGTTATATTCAGGGACTTTACGAAAGACAGGATCTCAACCAATACATTCATGATGACGAGATCTTGGTTTTAAGCTATTTCCCAGTTTACGAATCCCATGTAGTCAATAATTATCTTTATGGTTATTATGAATTAACGAAAGAAATCATGATTCGTGAAGGAGTTTGTTCCATGAATGGTCGCTACTGTCCACATATTGAGTCTAGAACTGTTTTCAACAAAGTGAAATACGTCTTCTCGGATGAATTTCAAGCAAAAATTATTGATCGTATTGGCTCATCAAATATTTTTCCTGTAGAAAGATTTCTCATGGAATTCAATGTACAACAATATTTCAGATTGGGTTGTACAGAATATCTTAGACGCTGGCTAGGGCCAGTTAGAGTTAGGCTTTATCTAAGAACTCGTGGTTAACAATTCCCATCAATACTACATTTGCTTTGTTTATTTGAATAAATTTTAATTTCATTTTTCATTTCATTATTCTTGAAAATAACGCTTGGTTCCTATCATAACTCTTTTAAATTTAGACAAACTAAGCATACATATTGAATTTTGCTGATTTGCTACCTAAGATTCCTGTCTAACAAAATTTTTTACAAACTTATGGTATGACAGAACCTGTATCTTATAAAACTTTTTTTCAGTAATGGTTAGATTCAATAGTTGAATAGTCGCCTCGAAATCGGTAGAACTAGCGGTGATTTGATTAGAATAAATCGTAAGAAGATCTAAAATTACATTTAAAGTCGTAAAATGTTTTTAATTGTTGTCCATCTTGGATCAAATTAAGCTCTGAATATTCAAATATTCTATCAATTATTCTACCAGAAGTTCGGCGAAGATATTTGCTAAGACCAACGCAACTAAAGCAGCAAAGAATCAAAATTAAAGATTACTCATCAGATATTTGTATTGAAGCAAGATACATAAGAGAAGGAAGAATAAAGATTTCCATCATATTAATTTTCGATCAAAGCCTGATTTCAATTATATTATATACATTATATATTGTATAATGGTGGAGTCATATCCTTATGGCAAACACTTACACGCGGAGAAGTGTTTAGTTTTAACTGAAAGTTTAAGTAAAATGAATCTACTCCGGAAATAAAACACATTCACAGACAACATTTCAACAATGTTACTAACCTATGCACGGAAAATTTGGCACAAAATTAAAACTCTTTAATTATAAACTACTTTTGTTGCTAGGAACTTAAAGAGATTTTTATTAAGTAGATTAAAGCAGTAGATTCAGAATATCGCAAGAAAAAAGGCATAAGTCATTTATAAAAGTCAGAATTTTCATGTTTTCAAAAATGTCTCTTAAAATTGCGTGTGAAAATCTTTTCAACAACAATCTAAATAAAGTTCGAAAAAGTGATCTAATTAAAAAATTCGTGGAGATTGGTGTACCTAGAAGGACTGCCTATAGGTATTATCATGATTTTGAATATCATGAGGAAAATCTGGTCAAAAAAATCAGAGGAAGACCTCGAATCAACCTCGACAATCAACTGAAGAAAAAATTTTGCCAATGACTGATGGCCGAATCTTCCCTTCACTAAAAATCTGAATTTGTGCCATAATTTCCGTGCATAGGTTAATGAGAATGTGTTCAAAAATTAACTTTAACTCATTTTGATTGTCACAAAAGTTCATGTGATCTTTATGAATTTTTAGCACAATTATCTGTTGATATTGAAAATAAGGTTCAACGTTTTCAAAATAATTTACAGTTTTGTTTGAAAAGAGCGCTTTGGCTCAGGTCGACACTTGTTTTCATACAATAATATGTTTCGCCTTTAAGACCAAACTTTTTGTAATTTTTGTTATTTTTACTTAAGCTTTCGGTTTGACCTCGCAACTTCTCCGCGTTATCCGTGTTTCATAGTATCATACTTGTTGAAATGGCAGAACAAAATAACAATTCTGATAAACGTAAGTTTCAATTTATTTATGATTTCAAGATAATTGAATCTTTACTGTCATTTAACTTAGTTACTTTCAAAGTGAAGCATTTGGATGAATATCATGAGATAGTTATTGATCCAAATGATGAAAGATATGAAGACAAACACCAACAATTATTTGAACAGGTAAGTAAAGTTCTGCATTTCATCTTTGAACATTAACTCAACAATATTTTTATATTTGTAGTTGGAATCAATAACAGGAGTTCCAAGTAGATATACAACTGAATTCATTTTACGTAGAAACATGAACCCTTCCGACGTTAACAATACTGAACGGTATCTGTGGTCTTTTTACAACCAAAAAGCGTAATAAAACATTTCACTAATTGCCATCATTTATCATAGATGTATATTTATTAATCGCCTCTCAACTTTTTCCATAGCTTCGCTCCTGATATACGGAGATTCTCTACATATCGAGATATCTTCAGTCTAAATATTCGTGATGGTGAGCGCTTTCATCTCCAATATTTTATTTCTTATGGGCAATGGACTTCTAAACGTATAAGTATGCGTTATGCGCTAGTGGAAGAAAGAGACGTTCCTGAAGTAGGCTGCATTCAAGGTTATTGTCATTCTAGATGCACTGAACCTTACTTTAAAAGGTTGAAAGATCTTGTTAATAATGATGCAATGAATGCAAAAATTACTCAGCTTGTCCAGCCACTATTTGAATCGGGAAATTCAGCGGAAGTTTACAAGATTTTCAGAGATTTCAATATTAAACAATATTTATATCCCTCTTGTGATGAGGGTTATAGGCGGAGACTTGCAGTGAATGGTCATGCACACCAAATTGATCTTTATTCAAGAACTCGAGGTTAAACCCGTCTGGTATCTACCTGTGGTGAATGAGCCTTGTTTCAATTTTACTCAATAAACTGAGTTGAGAGTTTAAACTTTACCATGGCTCAAAAATATTCATTAAAGTTGGATAAATCCGAATTTTTAGCGTGATTCGCAACTCGGTATTCACTGCGTTCTTATAACCCTATAAGTTGATCAGGTTACAAATTTTTCACCCAAATCTTTACTTTTTACTCAAAAACATAGTTTCACATAAAATCCTGGTTCAACAATGAGCCATCAACCTGAATAACAAAATAGTTTTTTCCCTCACTCAATGTTATTGAATACGGATTCTAAATTCTTTACCCATCCTCTATTTCTATGAATTTATCAGAGATTTAAATTCTGAGGATAGATTCCCTATTATTCGTGGATGTAGTAGAATCAGAGCTTTCACGCTGTGTAATTTTTTTTCTTAGAACCAGCTTAGTTTGGCCACAATCTTGACACAAAAATTTCATATATTGACTTTAATATCGTGCAGATGTAGATGTGGAGATAACCAAACGGCACTGAATCTATTACCACCTATTCTTAATCTATTATACAATCTGTAATATCCCTCACATTTGAACGATATGTAGTTGAGGAAGAACAGAAACCCATTAAATAAGTTTTAATTGTAAGCACAATTACTTGTTGTTGTTAGGTTGAAAAATCATTCCACAGAACGTAGTATATTCATATTTGTTTGAAAAGAGCGCTTTGGCTGAGGTCGACACTTATTTTCGCCCAATCTTCCAAGTCCAAACTTTTTTGAATTTTTTTCAGTTTTACTTAAGCTTTCAGTTAGAACTAAACGCTTCTCCACGTGTTGGGTGTTTGACAGTATAAATACTTGTTAAAATGGAAGAACAGAAAGACAGTTCTGATAAAAGTAAGTTTCATTTTATTTATGATTTCAAGACAATTCACTCTTTACCTTTCATTTGCCTCAGTTACTTTCAAAGTGAAGCATTTGGATAAATACCATGATATAGTTATTGATGCCAGATATGAATCCAAAGACCAACACCAACAAATATTTGAACAGGTAAGTAAGTTCTGTATTTAATCTTTGAACATTAACTAAACAATATTTTTATATTTGTAGTTGGAATCAATAACAGGAGTGCCTAGTAGATATACAACGGATTTTTCCATACTTAGAAACATGAACCCTTCCGATGTTAATAATGCTAATCGACGTGTGATGTCTTTTTACAACCAAAAAGCGTAATACAACATTTCACTAATTGCTATCATTTATCATAATATCTGAATTAATTGATTGCTTATCAACTTTTCTTCATAGCTACGTTCCTGATTCACTTTCAAGGTACTCTGCACGAAACAATATCTTCAGTCTAAATATTCGTGATGGTGAGCGGTTTCATCTCCAATCTTATGTTCATTATGAGCATTGGATTACCAAACGTATAAGTATGCGTTATGAGCTAGTGGAAGAAAGAGACGTACCTGAAGTAGGCTGCATTCAAACTTACTGTCACTCTAGATGCACTGCGAGTTTCTTTAAAAGGTTGAAAGATCTCGTTAATAATGATGCAATGAATGCAAAAATTACTCAACTTGTCCAACCACTATTGGAATCAGATATGGAAGCGTTCAAGATTTTCATGGAGTTTAATGTTAGGCAAAATTTTTATCCACCTTGTGTTTGGAGGACACGGACGCTTGCAGAGACTGGTTATACATACCAATTTGATTATTATCTAAGAACTCGAGGTTAAACTCGCATGCCCATTGGTAAATGAGCCTTGTTTCAATTTCACTCAATGAACTAAGTTTAGAATTAAAATTCGACAATTTCTGATAGACATTCATTAGAGTTGGACAAATCAGGACATTCAATCGGATTCGCCGCCTAGTATTTACTTGTTTAGGGAATCGAATAATACTTGGCTGGATTCGGTTCCTTTTATTATTTCAACAAAATAGAAAAAAAGACAAAATAATCAAAAAATGAACATAAGTTTAGATCTTTTCTCTGTAAAATTAGGTACGCTATAACAATACGCTCGGGTAAACGGTCATTTTAAAACAATGGATTGAGAAAACAATGAAATTTGATTTTGCGTTTGTGCTACAAACAATAGCTTTAATAACCGTTAGTACATCTCATGTACCATCTCTTTTAGATGCGTCTTAATAAGTATTAAAACCAAACAACCAATGAGCCTTTTAAAAATGAAGCACATTAAACTGACCAATAAACCATTAATAACTAGGTTTAAATTTGATATAAAAAGCGAAAATATTTACTTATTGTAATACTGACGGTCCATGCTTGAGAACCCATTTTGATGGACATTTGAAGCACAAGTTTAGTAGCAGTTGACAGCTGTCGTTTATTTAAAACTTTAAGAGTTGAAACTCGAGATAAACGGAACTGAACACAGTAAAAATAATAGCATTGTATCGCTCTTTATTGTTTTCAGGTACAACTATATGAACCATTCTAGCCGTACTTGTCATTTCCGGAATAAGTAAATTTTCGATCATTTTCTAGTCATGAAAATTGTTAAGTAACCCCAATTTTTTGTATTCCATATCATTCTTCATGGTCTTCTGTAATAGCAATTAGTATAAACAGTTCGGGTATGAGGACAATATCTCGTTCAATTCCTCCAAGATACTGAGTGTTAGTGATAGATGATGTTTCTCAGTTGGCTCAACCAAAAGGAGAAGTTGATTAAAATCCTTTATTTCAAGTTTATTGATCTTTATAATAATCCTTCAATGAGACTAAGGTACCTTGTTCATCAAAGCAATAGATTACTGGATTGGTATTGAAATAAAAGCATTAATCTGGTAGTCTAGAAAGTCCTTTTAGTGAAATAGACTCAATGCTCTGGTTAGTTTGTTGAGAAGTGGTGAAGAGATTCAATGAATGTAAAATTCTCATTAGAACTTTTATTCCAGTTGCATGATCGAAAATACTATCGAACACCTGATTTGTAGTGAATAAAAAAGATCTTTCCTGATTTTCGAAGACTCCACAATCGAATCAAAAGTTACATGATATCCATAGACATTTGGTTCATTTATAGCTCATTAAAAAATTATTAGAGTAGAGCCAAACAGTAGTCTCTCCTTGACCCACATTGGAAATAAATCTAATCCGATTGTCGGGTTGGTATTTCTGCACCAAGCTTGCGAGGAAAGGATCTTCTTCAAGCACGGAATGAACTGAAATCCCTCAGAGTCACAAATAGATCATTTTCTCGCTTGAATATAAAAAAAACTGATAAAAAATAAGATATGTTTGAACAGATTAGTAATAAATATGATAATCAATCGCTATTGTTATTGCTTTTGAATAAACTTTCATTTTCATTAACAAATCAGACCAATTTGTAAGATCAAATATTTGTATATTCAAACAAAAAAAACATTACATTATGTCGCCCTTGATTAAAATTAATTGTTGATCATCACATTGGACATCTCTTCTTGTAACATTAAATTATAAACTTATTTGTTGATTAATCTACTAGTAGAAATAACTTGATACAATGATTTAGTATGACTTTACTCTTAATAACCATACGTCAATGAATCTACTTCAGAAATAAAACTTTTTGTTTCTATCAAACTGCATATCCCAATCAGCAGACAACATTTCAACAATGTTACGGATGAACAAAAATGGGATTAAAGTTCTTTCAGTTATGTTTGAAAATAGCGCTTTGGCTCAGGTCGACACTTGTTTTAGCCCAATAATCTGCTTCTCTTTCAAGTCCAAACTTTTTTCAATTTTCTCGGCTTCACTATGGCTTTCAGTTAAAACTAAAGCTTCTAAACTAGAGTTTCTCCTCGTGTTCCATATGATTAGGTTCCTAATGGATGCTGCTTCCAACCAAAAAGGCAAAATTTCGTATACATAATGATGTGGCACTGGAAAAAAGATTGTACTCAATTCAAATCTTGGTTCGGTTCGTTTCCTTTTAATATTTCAACAAAATAGAACAAAAGATTAAATAAGAAAAATTTGGGATTCCCATAAATTATCGATGATATTGACTGAAAAAACGATATTGGTGTACAGTGAAATACCAGATAATGACAGTAAATTTGTCAATGGCCCCTAATCAAGGACGGGCTAAGAAAATCTGTATTTTTTCACTACGCTGCCCAGCGAATATACGGATAAGCTATTTCAAGTTGCTGTCATTAATTGATAGTAAAGGAATAGGTTTAGTATTAACAGAATGTACAGGGCATGAAATTTAGATCACCTTATTTTTTTGAATTGTAAACACAATTATATTCTAAGATTTAAGTTTATCTATTAGTAAAACAATCTTTCCTAAAGGAAAAGTTAGGGAAGCGTAATTTCGCAGAATTTGGCTTTTCAGTTTTGGTTTAAAAATAGCGCTTTTACCGACGTAGAAACTTGTTTTCATCCAATAATCTGTTCCTTTTTTGAGACCAAAACTTTTTTGAATTTTGTCGGTTTCACATTTTCTTGGAGTCATTTCAATCCCTTTCATTTCATTTTGTGCCACAATTCAACTAATTATCGTCTTAAATGGGTGGAATGGATAAGAATAGTGATAATTCTGATAAAAGTAAGTTTCATGTTTAATTCAATCTTCAACTAAATTAATCAATTCTTTACATTTGACAACCTTAGCAATATTCAAAGTGAAATTTCTTGGTGAATATCATGATGTTGTTATCGATTGGTCAGATGAAAGTCATGAATATAAACAAGTACAATTATTTAAACAGGTAATTATAATAAATAAATCAATCTTTTCAGTTTTTTCTATTTTAATTTTTGTCTTGTTTTTTATTAATAGCTGGAATCAATAACTGGAATCGCTAACAAATATATATGTCAGGTTGATTTAGAGGCAGATAATCAGGATCCATTCCTTACAGAAAATCCAGACTCTGAATATTTTTATTCAATCGTCTTACCAAAGTAATTTCTTGTTTTTAATGCTTCAAGTTGCATTTCAATTAATCCTTTGCATCTCTTTTATACAAATCGGTTATATTCAGTGACTTTACGAAAGACAGGATCTACAACCAATACATTCATGATGACGAGATCTTGGTTTTGCGTTATCACCCAGTTTACGATTCCAGAAGAGTCGATAATTATCTTTTTTGTTATTATGAATTAACAAATGAAAACATGATTCGTGAAGGAGTTTGTTCCATGTATGGTCGCTACTGTCCACATCTTCAGTCTAAAACTGTTTTCAACAAAGTAAAATACGTCTTCTCGGATGAATTTCAATCAAAAATTATTGATCGTATTGGCTCATCAAATAGTTCTCCTGTAGAAAGATTTCTCATGGAATTCAATGTACAACAATATTTCAGATTTATTTGTACAGAAACCCTTAGACGCTGGCCAATGCGATTTAGACAAAGATTTGCTCTTTATCTGAGAAATCGTGGTTAAAATCTAATTGATGATTTGTTTATTTGAATAAATTGTCAGTCGACTATTATTCTTGGAAATAACACTTGATTTATGTCATAACTCTTTTTTTAGACAAACTAAGCAGGCATATTGAAACTTGCTGATTTGCCACTTGGGATTCCTGCCTAATAAAGATTAACACAATTTTTACAAACTTTTGTTAGGACAGAAGTCTATTTCTTAAGAAAATCTTTTACAGGAATGTTTGGATTCAAAAGTTACCAAGTTTGTTGAATAGTCATTAGGACTAGCACTAGAATAATATTAGAATAGGATAAAAAGTCTCAAAATGCTTTCATTCGTTGTCGATCAAATCAAGCTCTGAATATTCAAATATTCTATCAATTATTCTACCTGAAGTCCGGCAATCGAAGATATTTGCAACCTCATCGCCAAGACCGACGCAACTGAAGCATTGAAGAATCGAAATTAAATGTTAATCATTACATATTTTCATTGAAGTAACATGCAGATGAGGAGGAAGAATAACGGCTTCAATCACTTTGAATTTCGTTTGGTTAAAGTCTGGTTATTATAAAAAGACTCTATGAAGTTAACTGGTCCCCTCGAAATAAATGAACTTTTTGAACCCAATAGCGTAATCTTAAATCTCCTTTCATTGAAATCATTTAGCATAAGATGTATATGTACTTGTTTCTCAACTTTTTTTTGATAGCATCACTCTTGATTCACTTATGCGATATCCAATCGAGTGAGACGATATCCGTAGCCCACATGGCGAGCTGTGATGGCGAGCGTTTCCATCATCAATATTGGTTTGCTTATGAAAATGGTATTTCCAATCGTATCAATATACGTTATAAGTTAGTAGATGAAAGAGACATTCCTGAAGGAGTCTCTAGTCGACATTTCTGTCAATATCAATGCACTCAAGAATCTTCTCACGAGGGAAGTACTCGAGGTCATTCGCATAACAGTTAATATTTTTATCATAAAACAATTAGGTTTTATGAGTGTTTGTTTGTCTCGAAATCTTTCGGGTAGAAAATCAAAGATAAACTAGAAAACAGAATAAAAATTCAATTTTTTACACGTAAAGTATGGTAATAAGAATACAAAACAAAATGATGGTTTTTTTCATTGAGTCACAAATCTTTAATTATCACTCGAAGTGGCGGATTCGACTGTAAATTGAAGTAAACTGTTTTATACGCATTTATCTATTGATACATTCACGAATGAAAACCTTCTGCTTTTTCATTTAACTAATGAGTTTCGATTCAATTCTACTTTATGTCGATGCCTTTGGTTAAATACCAGTTGTTGATCGTCTCTTCATCATATTCAATTATAAACTTATTTGTTGATTGTTTAGAAATCACCCGATCCAATAATTCCTTATGACTTTACTCTTGAAATAAATCTTTTAGTTTCTATCAAACTAAACATTCCAATTTGAAGACAAGACACACATTTCAACAGTTGATGAAGAACTGAAACTTGTTAATTTTTACAATGGTGAGATCACATTTTATCAATTTGAATTGCTACCTCAATTATCTGTTAATATTGAAGTTAGGGTTGAAAAGCCTTCTCGCAGGATGGAGTATATTCATATTTGTTTGAAAAGAGCGCTTTGGCTCAGGTGGACACTTGTTTTCGCCCAATTATCTTTCTAATCAATAATAAACCATTCTAATCAACCATTAGCAATGTAACACAATAGAACAACATTAGAATGCATTTTGAATGTACTCATCAGGATGAAAATCGAATCATACCAATATCATTGTGTACAGAATTAAAAACTACATAGTAAAAATGGGTTTTGATCGTGGTTCTCCAATATCGAGTTTACTTTGAAATAAAATAGCTTTTCTCTCTACTTTTTGTCACTTTTTTCCCGTTAATCCAGCAACAACACGTCGCATCAAAAAACCGATTTCATATTCATAATCAGCATGTCAAGTTCTATCAGAAATGATTTGTTTCATGGAAAAAAAATTCTAAGGCCATTATCTCGAAAACGGCTTCGAATATAAAAAAATGGTTAACACTATGATATTTTTCATGCCATTTTACATTTAAAAAATTCAGTTTGAAATAAATCTATTTTTAGGCGAATTTCGTCCGCCTCCTTTATGAGACTCCACAGTTGGATCAAAAGTCACAAGATATCAATAGACAATTGGTTCATTAATCATTTAAGCTTTGATTAAACATTGATTTTCGATCATAATTTTACTCTTAATAGTCAAATGGCAATGAATCTACTCCGGAATTAAAAAAAATTCACAGACATTTCATCAATATTACTGATGAAAATGTGTTCGAAAATGAATTCTAACTCATTTTTGGTTGTTGAAAAAGCTCAGGTCACATTTATGCATTGTTAGCACGATATCTGTTGATATTGAAGTGAAGGTTCAACTGTTACAAAAGTATTTTCAGTTTTGTTTGAAAAGAGCGCTTCGTCTCAGGTCGACACTCGTTTTCGCCCAATAACCTGCTTCTCTTTCAAGTCCAAACTGTATTGATGTTTTTCGTCATGTTTGCTTAAGATTTGAGTTCTAACTAAACTCTTCTCCGCGTTTTCAGTGTTTCCTTTATTGATACGTCTTATAATGGCAGGACAGAATAGCAATTCTGATAACAGTAAGTTTCATTTTATTCATGATTTCAAGATAATTCACTCTTTAACTGACCATTTTATTCATAATAGTTACTTTTAAAGTGAAGCATTTGAATGCATATCATGGCATAGTCATTGATCTGAATGATGCCAGATACGAATCCAAACACCGACATCAACAAATATTTGAACAGGTGAGTAAAGTTTTGAATTTCATGTATTTCGTTTTGATCAGTAACTCACCATTATCTATACATTTATAGCTGGAATCAATAACAGGAGTTCCAAGCAGATATACAACTGGTGTTATTATACTAAGAAACATGAACCCTTCCGACGTTAATAATGCTTTTCGGGATTTTACTTACTTTCACAACCAAAAAGCGTAATAGACCATTTCACTAATTGATATCATTTATTATAAGATGCATATTAATTAATCTCTCCTCAACTTTTTTCATAGCTTCGTTCCTGATTCACTTATGAAATACTCTGCACGAAACGATATCACAAGTCTAAATATTCGTGATGATGAGCGGTTTCATCTCCAATATAAACTTTCTTATGCGCATTATATTTCCAAACGTTTAAGTATAAGTTATTACCTGATAGAAGAAAGAGACGTCCTTGAAGTAGGCTGTGGTCCACATTTCTGTCAATCTAAATGCACGGAAAGTTACTTTAAAAGGTTGAAAGATCTTGTAAATAACGATGAAATGAATGCAAAGATTACGCAGCTTGTCCAGCCACTAGAGGAATCGCAAATGTATTCGGAAGCGGACAAGATTTACAGAGAGTTCAATGTTGAACAATTTTTTCATCCTGTTTGTTTTGTGCATGAGCAGAGACGGTCAGAGACTGGTCATGCATACCAAAGGGATCGTTATTTAAGAACTCGAGGTTAACCTTCAGGGCATCTGCCCTTGGTGGATGAGCCTTGTTTCAATTTTACTCAATAAACTCATCTTTCTTGATTCAAATGTTGTGAGCCAAGAGCTTAACAACTTGACAATTCCTCAAAGATATGCATAAGAGTTGGGCATATCCGAATATTCACTCGTTGAGGAACCGAGTAATACTTGCTGGGATTCGGTTCTTTTTAATATTTCAACAAAATAAAACAAAAGCTAAAATAAGAAAATAAATATTTTGTTCAATCTTTTTTTCTGGAATAAAATATTAGGTTACTAAAAGTGTTGTTTGCATTAGTCTCTTGATTGATACAAGTTCCAACAGAAAAGACATGGCACTGGAATTGTACCCAATTCAAGAGAAATGTTGAATAAAGAAATTAGAAAAAGTCTTGTTGAAAATAGAAAGGGAATGAAATTTAGTTTTGAATCAACTTACAGTCCAATTATAATAAAGATTTAATTATTGCATCGCTGTATTGCATAAATATATTTATTCTTGTATTTTGACTGAAAATTATCAGTTTAATTGAAACATTAATATTATGTCAAGTTATTGCGTTTAATAAACTTTGGTCATCACTAACAATAACTCATCATTATCTATACATTTATAGCTGGAATTAATAACTGGAGTACCAAGAGATGTTCAAGTGGAGTGACTGTGCTTCAGAAACACCAAAGCTTCCAACGTTAACAATACATCTCGGCGAATGCTCATCTTTTCAACCCAAAAGCGTAATGTTACATTTCACTGTTCACGATAACAAGTCATTTATCATAAGATTTATATTGATTAATTGTTTCTCAACTTTTTTCATAGCTTTACTCTCGATTCGATTATGAGATACCATATTCATGATTTTTATACTTCTCTGATTTAATTTATCTCTATAAACTCTTGCTATTTAATTTCCATAATGAATCTGGATGAAATCTTAATTTCATGTACTGTCTCCTTTTATTAATTACATGACAGAGTAAATATGGAAAATAATAATAAAGTATGATGAACGAAGCTAGATTTTTAATTGTTAACAAAACTCAGATAATCGTCAATTGTTATCACAATAAGCCTTTAATATCGAAGTCAATGTTCAACTATTATTGAAAAATACTATTTTTAAAATAGCAATTGTACAGAATTTAGTATTTGCATATTTGTTTGAAAAGAGCGCTTCAACTCAGGTCGACACTGGTTTTCGTCCAATAATCTGCTTCTCTTTCAAGTCCAAACTTTAAGCTTTTTTTCCGTTTTGCTTAACCTCTCAGTTCCAACTAGACGCTTAAGTGTTCAGTATTTCCTAGTTCAGACACATATTGATATCGATACTTGTTAAAATGGGAGAACAGCGCAACAATTCTGATAAAAGTAAGTTTCATTTCATTTATGAATTTAAAATATTCATTCTACCTATCATTAATTTTAGTTAAATTCAAAGTGAAGCATTTGAATGAATATCATGACATAGTCATTGATCCAAATGATGCCAGATATGAATCCAAACACCAACATCAACAAATATTTGAACAGGTAAGTAAAGTACAGCATCCCATCGTTGAATAATAACTCATCACTATACATTTATAGCTGGAATCAATAACTGGAGTACCAAGTATATATACAACTGGTGTTATTATATTTAAACAGAATCTCATCAACCTCCCTCCCGATGTTGACAATCCTGTCTGGGTGGTAGCCTGGGTTTTTAACAACCAAAAAGCGTAATGTTACATTTCACTCATTTTCATTATTAATCATCCAATGCATATTAAATAATTGCTTGTAATTTTTTTCATAGCTACGTCCCTGGTTCGCGTTCTCGATACAATGCGCTTCACGATATCTTCAGTCTAAATATTGAGGATGGTCAGCGTTTTCATGTATCATATCAAGTCTCTTATGATTATCGTGTTACCAAACGTTTAAGTATGCGTTATGTGCTAAGAATGGAAAGCGACGTTCCTGAAGATGGGTGCGGTCGAGGTGTATGCCAATATCAATGCACTGAGAATTTCTTTAAAAGGTTGAAGGATCTCGTTTGTAATGATGAATTGAATGCAAAAATCACGGAGATTATCCAGCCACTAAGGGAATCAGGAATGTGGGCAGATGCAGATGCAGACAAGAATTTCAGAGAGTTTAATATTAAACAATATTTTCATGTTAAATGTGATGTGGATGAATTAGAGCTCAGACAGGCTGGTTACACAGGCCAAGTTGATCTTTATCTAAGAACTCGAGGTTAAATATCTGTATTTAACGAATGAAATGAATTTAATTTTTAACTGTTTGCGCCCAATAATCTGCTTCTTTTCAAGTCCAAACTCTTTTCAATTTCGAACGAATCCCGATGAAATTTTCATTTCTGTCACCTTTCATTAATTGTATGAAAATGTATAATCTGTAATTCAGTAATCTATAATGTGATTCATTTGACGATATAAATAAAAAAGCGTTGTAACTTTCAATCTTGGATCGAATCAAGCCACGAATATTTAAATATTAGCAAATTTTGTTTTTTCCTATTATTTGATTCTTTAAGTTACAAGACAAAGGGCAAGAAGTTTAACAATTATGAACATATAATATACATATAAGTTTATTGCGGTGAATGCCGATACAAGTAGATCAATGTCGCACATATTTATTCACTACTTGAATGGCCCTTTGAACAGCCTCGCAGTCATCATCACTGTTTTCATCTTCTTCGATGCGTTCTCCAAATATGGTTTCCTCTTTGATGTCACTTATATCCCAGACGCATAACTTGCCAAGTAAATCACAAGTGAATATACGGTTAGCAGCCACCTATTAAGAAAAAAATTGTTCAACATTAGTACAACCAAATTGTTCCAATCCATCAATTATTCTACCTGAAGTCCGGTGATGGCCTCCTGATGCCCATGGAAGCTTTTCTTCAGTGAACCTGATTTTGAATCAAAAATATTTGCAACGCCATCGCCAAGACCAACGCAAACTGAAGCATTAAAGAATCAAAGATTAAAGATTGCTCATTAGATATATTTCATTGAATTAACACATTTCTTGTTTAGTCAGGAAGCTTCACTAACTTGTAACCTCATTGAAGTATACAATGAAAAAATTTCAATTCATAAAGCATACAGTTGCGCTAATTATTGACGATTTCTGAATATTCATGCAACATGAAGCAATTAATAATGTCAAAATAATTTCTAAACTAGTAAATAAATAAACATTAACTATCCAATCAGTTGAAAGGGTGCAATAATAATTTTATGGATAATATGCAAATGAAGGATAATAGAAATATTACCAAAAAAACAAGCAAAGCTTTGCATTTTAAATCAACTTTGTTACTATGCTGGGTTCAATGAGTTTTTTGTTTATAAATTTTATTTACTTTCACCCATTGCAATAACCTAATTAACTCAACTGGAAACATCTAAACTGTCCATTGAACTTACAATTGTAACACAATTTAACTGAATAATAAACCATAAATGTCAGTTCCTGATACAAACTCAGCATAAAAACAAAGCTCAAACTGACCAAAAAACAAACCAGATTTATTTTTTTGTGGGAAACTGCTTGAAGAAATACAAAATATAGCTTTCAAACAAATAATTAGAGAGGAGAGAGAAAGATGATAATGATGAAAACAACAAATCTAGCAATTATGAAAAGGATTGAGGTGATAGCAAAGAGATTTCAAAGTTGAAAATTCAATTGATTCTCATTAGCAAACAATTGAATGAAAATGTCCAATAAATTTTACCCAAAGAGGTTTGTTTAAATTGAATGACTTGAAGGTTCCCAAAATATAATTGATTCCCTAGATTGATCAAAGGAGAGGTTCATAATTATTGAATTGGCCTCACAATCTTGTAAATAACCTGTTTCCAAGTATTGAGAAAAAATTGGATCCACATAAAAAAACTATGGTCATGATAAGTTTCCTGAGATAGTGTTTCATTCAATTTCCCAGAAGCTGGTGGTGTTGATGAAAAGGTATTACAATTGAGGGTATAAAAGTTTATGGCCAGAAGGAGAGGGAACAGAATTAAAAGTGCTACAAGTGTTTAACTTAATTAACTTTGCTCAAGGTATGGCAACCCAAAAGCTTTACAAGTTTATCCCAATTACTGGCTGTTATTAATATTAACATTTAACCAGTAAATTTGAGTATCCGATGACTTATTCAATGTCTCACCTAATCCATTATAATATTGAACCAAAGAGACGGCACTAGAGTTGCCATGAAATACTCTAACACATTCACCAAATTCAATGACCCAAGCTCTTGCTGTTCTGTCTGTCGATCCTGAAAATAACATGCGATTGTAGGCTACACATGAGATGACTGGTCCATTGTGATCGCTCATTTGCTTCACCAATTCACCAGTCACGGCATCCCAGCTGATTATTTTACCGTCGCCTGATGCCGAGATGAACTGTTTACTATTCAATGGATCAGCAAGTAAACTGTAAATAGGAGCACAATGGTCAGTTAATAGCTTTAGACAGTCTCCATATTTGAAAGACCAGATTCTTATTGTACAGTCAACTGATCCGGTAACCACAAGATCTGTTTCCAATATGCGTCCAGTTAGTTCAAAGTCGGTGTCGGTTGGAAGAAATATAATTGGATAGACACTTTTGGTGTGACCCTACATTGAACGAGACAAGAAGCAAAAATTAATACAGATTTACATTAATTAACCTTAAAATATCTTGAATGTCATTAGCTTAACCAGCATACCTTGTAGGTTTGGATGCACGGACTTAATCTGGTTAGTTCATCTTTTGTTAGATTATCAATTGTAACCAATTGTTGCTCATTGTCTTCATCAAAATCTTCATCATCTTCAAATTGGTTAAAAGATGAAATAGCAACATTGGCAAGCCAAACTTTGGCTGTTTTGTCATATGATGTGCTAAACAAGAAACTAGATTTAATCATTATACGATTAATCTTGGAAGAATGACCAAAAAATATAAACAGGCAGTCCATTGTTTCAATTGACCATTTGCGAATAGTTTGATCCACTGATCCCGTATAAATGTACAAATTGTCGATTGTTGAACACGTTATACCAGCCTAATGAAATAGATATCAATAATTAATTAGTAAATTGGTTTCAATGTTGGCAAGGTTATTTGTTTTGCTTTTTTTCACTGACAAGGTTTAGGTCTTTGGGTTTATGTATACAATTTTTATCTATTGATTGATCAATTAGCAAATATGACATGAATGAACTCATATATTAGCATATCAGTGTTATCATATGGATAAATTGCTAATATAATTTTCATGATTTAACCTTGAATCAAGTGATCTGTGATTAAAACTAATGATAGATGACCACAGCTTCAACAGACTTGCAGTCTAACTCAGCAACAAAAGCACAGCAGCAACCCATTTGCCTTTCCGTCTATCTTTACTATCTGCACATAAATTGGCCAATTAAATCAAAATTTGGACTAATTTATTTTGCTAATTAAACTTACCGAGTGTCCAACAAGTTTACCAATTATCTCAGTTGGTGATGAAAATGTGCTTATAACCAGTGCGGTTCCAAGTTCACCTGCAACCACAAGCATTGAGCGATCTTCACTTATCTCCATTAAACTAACCGAACCAATGTTTGTATCAATATCTTCAATTAAAACATCTGATTTACTTGTGCTTTTGATTGAACCACAGCCCATTTTACCCAGCATATCGTCTCTGTCAACCAGTTTGCCTAAAAAGTCAACATGAAGTCACCAGGAAAAAGTTTAAAACAACATTTGGCTCTTTTCGGTGAAACATGCTTTAAAAACAGATGATCGTTGTTGTTGGTCCAAATAATTGTTAACATTGTCTATAACCAAGTGACGATTTAAACACTCACAAACAGATGATTATCCAATTGGTAAATACTCGTTAACGGAGATTAATTAACAAAACAACTCAACAATGGAAGTCACAAGTAAAACAGTCAACTGAGCTATTGGCTTTAGATGAGGTTCACTTTAAAAACGGAGGCCAAGTAATCTTTAAACCAATTGCTTGAAACTTGCAACATATTTAATAAGTTTGCAACAATACCTTTTCATAACCATGGTTACTTATGGTATAAACATTAAACCTCACCTGAAATACCTCATGCTTTTTGATTCTAGGTCAGTTCAACAACCAAATTAACCACTGTAATGACCACTTTAAATATTGATGCGATTCTTACACTAAACCTTTTCCAACTGTTTATCATTTTGTAGATAGATGAATCAACAATTCATCGACTTCTGACTTCAAAGCCAAGACGAATGGCTCAGCTCTTCGTAAATATTAAAATTAAGTTCAACATGACTTTTCAGGCTTTTGTTTTCTTCCTGTTTTTGTCTCATCTTGAAATGGTTTTTGATTCATATATATTTATTACAGTAAATTACCAATAATTTGATTGGATTAACTAAAAGTATTGTTCCAAGAAAATAAAGTTCAGAAGCAAAACGCTTTATTTTTGAATTGCCACTGAATCTTTTGCGTTGTTTCAAACAAAATAAGGAAGTCTTGATGAATTAATTCTTATATTGTTTATCATTTGTTATTGGTAAAGACTTACATGATTAGATTGGGGTGACACTAAACAACCAAAATGAACCAAAAAAACCAAAAACAACCAAAATAAACAAAATAACCAAAAATAACCAAAATAACCAAAAATGGTCGAAAACAACAGAAATCACCATGGCAACCACAGCTTAAAATAAGAAGAGCTTAAATTTGAAATTTAAACTTCTTATTGTTGTAGAGGTTCGCACAAAACAAGTTGCTTCAACGAAATAAACACATTTTTAGTATTGTTTTTAACGCAAATTTTTATTGTGTATTCAAAATGGCTGATTCCAACAGCGATCCAAATGTTATAAAAGTAAGTAATTCAACTATTATTTCTTAATTCAAGTGATTCAATATATTTAACATGGTCATTTTTTGTTTTTTTTCAGCAATCAGTGCATTATCAAGGACTGGATTTTCCGTGTAAAATTCTTGAAAAAGTCAAAAAGGATAACACTGAATATGGACTCGTTCAAGTTAACCCTTATTATGAAAGAATGGACTATCTTTGTACCGCAGGAGAGGAAATACCGACTGCAAAAACAATGAAGAAGAAGTACAAATGTGTCGACCAATTAATAGCCAATTCAAAAAAAAAGGATTCCAATGTGAAATATCAATGTCCATACTGTTTGGAAATAATAAGTGCACGAAAGGACACATGTGACCGACACATTGATGGTCGCCTGGACTATGCATCAATTTGCAAGGAAAGGATAAAAGTGGAGCCTGATCGAACAAATAAAGGCATAAAGCGACCGATTATGGTTGTATATGAAATAGAGAAATAGAATGTAACCAGGTTGTATTTTTCTTGAATAAATAAAATGATTTTTTTAATTGAATGCTTTTTTTATTGCTTAATAAATATAATAATAACTTCAAATATGAAATACATTTAAGATAAGTAATTTTCTTTTAAACATTGATAACAAATAAAATACGTTTCAATAAATTGTGAATGACACTCACGACGGTACCAGAAGCGACATGAGACACATAAA